ATCCACCGGAAACGGACCCAACCTCACGAGCACTAATACTCTGAGTCGGCCACTCGCGGTCTACAGATTCGTGTTCTTCATAAGCTAAGCCTGACCCTAGAGGATCCCCTAATCCAGCCTGGTCAAACAACAGCGGCGGCGCATCCCTTTCCCGCTATTTTAAAACTGGGTCCGGTCTCTCCCATGCCTTTGATATAACAGAACTTGCGGCGGCTGGCTGTGCCTACAGTCTGACCGCGCGGAGCAATAGCTGGCGTCTGTTACTCACCGCATCGGCCCCCTCCGGGTAACTAGGTGCTCCGCCATTCTGGTGTCCTCCTTCGTCCCGCTGTTGGAGGATGTCCTCCAAGCCTTCTTGGCCTCCGCCGCGCGATTGCTCGCGCTCTGCCATCACTTCGCTGTTACTGGCGACCGATATGCCAGCAACGTCAAATCGCCTTATCTACTTTACTATTGAGCTGGGTCCCGAATACAAAGTAAATCACTATTTAAACAATTCAAAATCCCCAACAGACGACGTTCTGACTTGCGCTTGCTTGCACGGTTGACTGGCGAACTAGCGTTGTCTGGATTCAGCGCTTTGTTCCCAGCTAATCTTTGTAACGCACTACCGTATCAGTCACTGTCCTCTGGCCAATTCCGGTCTGCTCCTCCCGCGCCGCACTTGCCGTACTACACTACAGGACGAGCACTTAATCAACATGCATTGTAGGTTCACACTCGTACAATACTGGTTTCGTACTCGTACCTCGCAACAGCTAGCTTATGGTTGTTCTTCCACCTTCCTTCTTGAGATTAATTGTTGCTGTGGGTTTCTATGCTTAAGTTATAATCAGAGCGGACATCAGCCCTGGGTGTAATCTAAGTTATGGTGGAGTAGCTCAAGCCTCATGCCGCTGAGTTGGGCATGGATCCAGGAAGCAACTCACACGCTCATGATTCGTTCTAAACAAACATGGAGCATTGAAGCTTGGGAAGCAGTCTTTACGACGGTGATGCTCCACTTGCAAGTACGTCTGGATTTCACAGGCAGTTGGACACGGACTGTATCCAGCGTGCGCAGAGCTGGCCAGTCGCCCCAACAATGCCAAAAATGTGCGCATTACCCCTCGTTTGGTTCGGTGGCACCTATCATTTGCTTAGAACGCGCTCCCGTATCCCACGAACCCAGTAATGCCGTAGCTATCTCCGAAGGTGCCTTCCGCGCACTCTGCGATTTACAAAAGCGCAATTTGCAAGCCAGGGATATAGCCCAAAACTTATCGGCAGTTCAATTTGCATTTGCAAGTTTCGCCACGTAACAACTATTTTACCGGTCGCTAAGGCCTTGGCGTGCGAGTGGCGGGACAACTATGGACTGACAGAACGTTTTTCGGCATTGTACCTTCGTTTATAACATCCCCCTTCCTTTAGCTAACGTCATTTTGACCGGCCCTGGGCGGGTCTGGCCTGGTTCGGTGTTGTTCGGCAAATCATCGCAGCGGTGAGGGTAGGGTTCCAGAACAACTCGTGGATTCATTAAGTCGTGAAACCGGAATACATGGATTCGTGATCTCCAGGCTGCCAGCGCGGGCGATACTGCACGGGCGTGCTGCGCGGGCAACGCTGCGCGGGCAACGCTGCGCGGGCGATGCTGCACGGGCATGCTGCACGGGCATGCTGCGCGGGCAACGCTGCGCGGGCATGCTGCGCGGGCATGCTGCGCGGGCACTCCGCTTTGCCCAATCCAACGTAAAACCCTCCTAGCCATGGTATCTCTACACTTTTATAAAATAGAAATAACCTACATATCTTCAAAACGCAGCTGATAAAGCGTGTTGATTTGCAGGTGCTTGCTGAGCTAAATGCAGCGCAGGGAACACAAGCAGCGCTGGGTTAACACATAGCTCGCATCCGACTCCCCGAGCCTCGCACATCGTCAGTATCCACTATCCAAATTTACATTGCGCACAGCTTTCATATCCTTAAAATAACGTACAATCTTACCTTGCCCGCAGGCGCATCACACTCATCCCGAACTGTACCGCACCAGCACCTTCCAAACGCGTCACGACAACATGAGATGCATGCAATTCGCCCTCGTTCAAGTCAAGCGGACATTCGCCCTCGTTCAAGTCAAGCGGACATTCGCCCTCGTTCAAGTCAAGCGGACATTCGCCCTCGTTCAAGTCAAGCGGACATTCGCCCTCGTTCAAGTCAAGCGGACACGTGTCTATAGGTCATGGGGCTTATCAGGAAACCCCGGCGATATCACCACCGACAGGCTCTCACCTTTAATTCCCGCTCCAATGCTCAACACAACTTCCAAACAACTTCCAAACAATTCCACACGCACACCTTGCAAAGATGCATCTCTTTTTCAAACACTCAAAAGACAAATATCCTCCATGAGTCAAGCCGAAAGGTAAAGGAAAGAAGCTCCCATGCGCCTTTCTGTACATACGAGAGGTCAGATTGCGCGTGCTGATCAGTGTTCCTTATTTTCAGCACCGGCAAAATCCACACGAGGCACATGTAAAAGCTTGTCATTTACTCATACAACCTAGCACGGCGCCGGCGCCAGGCCCTTACAAAGCCGTAAGCTCCAAGCTTTGCACATATTAGGGAAAGGTAACTGTACAAAAGCATCGGCACATTCCATACGTTGGCCGGTGCACTAGATTACAATCGCCGGGCGCGCGGGCGTGCGGTCGCACTCGGTGACCACAAAAGAGGGCAAGTAAGCGGCCGAGCCTCCTGACGAAGTTGCGGGCTGGTAATCGGCCAGGGCAGGCGCGGGCGAAGTGGCCGGTAGGGCCAGCAGCTGCTGGTGCTGCACTGCTGACGATGCATGTATCGCAGCACCCTGTTGATGTTGGTGTTGGTGCTGGCGCTGGAGGGACCCGCTATGGCGATTATGTACCAAGCGCCGGCGGCACTCGAAACGGTGCAGGAGGGCCTACAGTGTAGCAAGGCAACAAGGGGAGGCGTATTCCATCAGAGCGTACTCGCCCAGGTGCCGCTGGCATGATAGCCAACCTTTAAGACGCGTGACAGTATTCGCTATATGAAGAGGGCAGAGCGACCGATAATAATAATAACAATAATCGATAAGCGTCATCAGAAAAAAAAACTAAAGCGCGGCAACTGAACTCCGGCGCCACTTTTTTTTAAACGTTGACCCCGCGATGCCAGCGCCAGGCGCTATCTTCAACAAGGCAGCTTCCCAAATTTTAAAGTTTCAAGTAGTAGTAATATTCGCAACGGCCATAGCTTCTCTTCCATCATGGCGGTCCGCAGCAGTAGCGGGTGTCGCAAACGAACCGACCGGGACAGCGGACGGCTAGACGGCAACGCTAGACGGCAACGCACCTTTATTCCCTCGTACAGCATAGCGGCAGCGGGCGGTGGCGGCACTGCAGTCTCCAGCAGCAACTGCCGGGGCGTTACTGGATAGCCGTAGAAGTCCAAGTTCACCTGATGAATGGCAGACACGTGTTGTTGTTCCCGGGAGGGGGGAGCAAGGGGGGGGGAGGGCACCACGACATGACGACATGCCATGACATGCAGAAACATCCCCGCGTGTTTGAATGTGCACGTGCCAGCAGGACATCGGCTGCAGGATGATTATTACGGGCTTTGCCCAGCAGGACAAGAACGCACCCGGCGCAGAAGCCTTTCATTCATACAAAGGCCTCAACCCATTTCGTTTTATAAGTCCCACATAAACGAACCTTTGAAGTGAAGTGAAATGAAGTTTCCACACATACAGATACACACCAGACAGACTACAGAGCCCTACGGGTGTGCTAGCGCTGCTTACTCCGCCGCCGCGGCGATGCTCACCTGCCTCCGGACGCACAACAACGTGCTCTCCACGGACAGCCCCACAAAGGCGCCTTTACTGCGGCTGTAGCCATAGGCCGCCGCCGTACCGGTAGTGTTGAGCACCAGGGACGCGTCCGCATGCCGACCCACGGGGCCCACAGCCAGGGCCGCAGCGCCGCCCACCACCACCCCGGCACCCAGACCGCCGCACAGCCCCGCCAGCGCCTCCCGGCTGCGCAGCACCAGCACCACATCCGCCAGCTCGCCACCCAGCTGGAGACCCCAGCCCATTCCGGCGGCGGAGATGGCGCAGGGGGCCGACCAGCCGCCGGGGGTACGGGCCACAACCAAGCCTGCGCCGTGAGAACGAACGAACGAAACAAAATGCCCGCGGTAGGCATCGATGTTCCGTGTATCAGTGCCTGCCATGATGATGATGATGATGATGATGATGATGATGGTGATGATGGTGATGATGATGATGATGATGATGATGATGATGATGATGATGATGATGATGATGGTGATGATGGTGATGATGATGATGATGATGGTGATGATGGTGATGATGATGATGGTGATGATGATGATGGTGATGATGATGATGGTGATGATGATGATGGTGATGGTGGTGGTGATGATGGTGGTGATGGTGGTGGTGATGGTGGTGGTAGTGATGATGGTGGTGGTGGTGATGGTGGTGGTGGTGGTGATGGTGGTGGTGGTGGTGGTGATGGTGATGGTGATGGTGGTGGTGATGGTGATGGTGGTGGTGATGGTGATGGTGATGATGATGCAAAAACGCAGTTCTACGGCCTGGGACCACCAGAGTACAATGACCTTGACACCGGGCCGCGTACTTACATAGCTCCGTCCGTCGCACACCTCCATTGAGGTCAATCAAAGTGAATACGCGGGACGAACTGGTGGCGGGAATTGCGGAATGTGGCTCCTCCTCACGACCGTGTCTCCTACCCCACCATCCCGCAGCTAAAGCCTGGGGGGCCGCTACCAACCCACTGTGTGTCTACCCCACTCCTCTCCCCCCCCCTGCGCGCGCGCTTACCGGTGCCGAAGGAGAACGACCAGCCGGCGCCCAGTCGTGCCACAGTCAGCAATGCCAGCCCCTCGACTCCCTGGAGCGCAGCCGTCGGCAGTCCTGCCTCGGGCCGCAGGCGAATCGCCTGGTCGGGAATTGCATAGTAGGGAACCGCAAAACGGCAGCAGCAGCGGCGGCGGTTTGAGCTAACAAAGCATACCGACATACATACCAGCGCCAAAGCAAACGTTACCAATCCCCGGTCGTCACCTTCTGTACCTACGTCCCTAGGCGCACACACCCTCCAACGTCCCCACAGGACTCCCCTTCGGAGCCGCTTGCTAACCCGTCGGCGGCTGATGTCGCGTAGAGCCGTCGCTGGCATGATACGTGGGCCGTAACGGTAATCGTTAAGACCACATGCCCGGGTAGTGTCAAGAGAGCCAAGAGGTTCCACGTCCAGGAGGCCAAAACATGTCCAAAACGTACCAAAACCCCCAACGGCCAAAGGCTTTCCAAATGGCTTGACACTAATGGCTCCGTGAGCTCATACATCATATGGGCGTCGGCTACCACTAAACCTCCTCCTGCTCGAAGAGCTCGGGATGGGTGCGACAGCAGCAGCAGCAGAAGCCGCCGCCGCAGAAGCAGTGGACAACAGTAGCAGTGGCAGCAGTAGCAGTGGCAGCAGTAGCAGCAGTAGCAGCGGCAGCAGTGGCAGCAGTAGCAGTGGACAGCAGTAGCAGTGGCAGCAGTAGCAATGGCAGCAGAAGCCGCGGCCATTACCTTTACAAAGGTGGTCAGCATGTTTGCCGCCTTGAATATGTCCTCCCCCAGATTGGAGGTCCACGGGCTGTTCAGCCAGGCGCGCAGGCTGATGGCGTCAGGGGAGTCCTGCACGGGGGGCTGCGCTGCAGCCGCCAGGGTGCCCGCCAGCAGCTGCTGGTGGGGAGCCAACACGCTCGAGCACAGCTCGCACACACGCTGAGGGGTCCTGGGGGGGGTCCCAAGAGGCCCCGGAGGCGGGGAAGGGGGGGAGACGAGCCACAAACGAGTGAAAGGGGGGGAGCACGGGGGAGAGGGTGGCGGGTGGCGGGAAAGACGAACCACGAACGAGTGAAGCTGCTGCCAAGGAAAGAGAGTACAAGAAGGGCGGGGGCGGGGGCGCTGCCGGAACCGCCCGGAGCATCCCGTAACAGGAGCATACGAGGGAAGGTGGCGCCTTGGTGGGCGACAGCGGGGGCAAGCGCACAAAGCGCAAGGGATGTCGGCTGCACGCCCGGATGCCGCAGGAAAGCACCGCCATGATATCGCGACACGGGATGCATTGGATTAGGCTGGGGGGGGCCTCAAATGTGGTGTATGTGTTCATGGCCTCAAAAAAAAGAGTCCGTGACCTCTTGTGTTCGTGGTTTATTTTCGCGGACCAATGGATCTGACGGCGACGAGGGGCCGTAACCTCTCCGCAAGGCATGTCGCCGCATACCGGGTGCAAAAGCGCCGCACCAGGTTGCGCCGTATTGTAACGTGTGCTAATCTGTGCTAAGGAGTAACGTAATGTCCAAGGGCGAAGGCCCAGCGCCCACCGCGTCCTCACCTAACCCCATATTTCGGTGGGAGCAGCGCTTTCTTGTGGCAACAAGCGCTGCAGAAAATTTTGCCGCACAGGCGGCAGTGGTGGCGCAGGCGCGTGAACGGTCGGAAGGGCATGTGGCAGCTCAGACACTCGGTTGCGTGGCTGTCCGGCAGCCACAGCGGCGGCTCCAGCGAGAGCACTCCGCCACTGCCGCCGCCGCCGCCACCGCCAAAAGCGGGCACTACAGCGGTACTCCCCAGGGGGTCCCAGGCCGCGTCTGCGCCGCGCTGGTGCTGGTGCCGTAACGCATCGGCAGAGGCAGCGCCGGAGCCGCTCGGGTCTGTACCTCTGCTGCCACCTGCTGCGAAGGCCGAAGATGCTTCGTCCTGGCTGCGGCGCTCCAGCACCGGTGGTGCGGACGGTACCGGCCAATCGTCGCCTTCGTGGAATGCGCCGAAGCCCCCGGAGCTCCCGTCGCTGTGCCGCCGCCGTTGCGACATATTCGCTGTTCCCAGCGGGTCAGAAGTCATGATATCGTGCAAGTCCTCCAACGTGTTGAGATTACCGCCGCCATCCGCACCGGTGGAAGTGCCGAAGCCCAGACTGCCTAGGCCCCGACCCAGGCCGCTAAGGGCTAAATTGAGACCAAAGCTGCCCAAGCCCTGTCCTTGCGTTGGAGCTGAGGCTGCAGCGGCGCCGGCCCTGGAGGCGCCCGACGGTGCAGTTGGCGCTGCAGGCGCCACTGAGGCAGCTGCTGCCTTCTTCTGACTACGAATAAGCTCAGCAGCGTAACTGTCCGACGTCAGCTGCTGCGTGGGAAAGGCCTCCCAGCCGTCTTGCTGTGCGGACTCGTCCACAAAGAGCATAGTGGCGAGGCGAATCAGGTCCTGCCGAGGACACCACCATGTGCACGAGATGAATATGTGAGATCAAACGCCATGCACCAGTGCTACCCGGGGTTTACCAAAACTGCTTCCAGGAAAGGTGTGTGCGTTTTGCAAGCCATGGGGAGATTGCGTTTTGTGGCGAAAAACCCTGAACAGATAGTGGCTAACAGGCAAGGGCGATCACTCGTTTTCACCACAGAGGTGTTAGCGCTTCTCGTCGCAATCACCGCGTTTCATGACTTTGTTTGCTTCTTCAAGCCCAGAACATAAACGCAAACCCCGTGGCTTCCACGACGTTGCAGAGCATGGCCGTCTATGCTATTCATATAAATACTGACCTCAAGTTCATGGTTGCATGACAATTTAAGCTCCTTCCCAAAGCTCGCCCTGCAAAGAGGGCACTGCGCATTTCGCTGCTGCACCAGCTGAAAACAGTCCAAGCAGCCATTATGACCTGAAACAGAATAAGGTAATACGTTCAGTAAAAGCCAAATAACAATTCCCAAAAGTATGCCGCGTCGTCACCCAAAAGCGCACCGCACGGAAGGGTGGCAGGCCCACCCCAGCGTCCAAGCGTCTCACAGCAGACCGGGCACAGCGGCAGCTCAGCAGCTGCCGCTGCACCTCCAGCAGTCATCCTAACAGGTTGCACTGAGTCGCCACCCCAAAAGACCAACGTCAGCAGAGAAGCATTACAGTAACTTAGGAACAACAGGTCTAATTAGTTTAGTGTAATATTGCAAAATATGTCCTCTGGAGCCGCGCCCTATGTACGCATCTTGCTCCCAAGTCCCAACGAAACTAGGGCTTTGGCACTCGTACGGGTCTTATTCCTCATCATCAAACACAAAATCTTGCGTCAGCATCCTTTATATTGCTATGAAGTCAATGCACTAAACTCGTTAGAATGCTGCATACAGCCCCGGCACCCAGAGGTCTTGCCAATAGCCAATGCGCAAAAGCCGTCTGGGCACCTGCTGTCTTACATTACCCGGTAGGCACCGCGCCGTGAGGAATTATAGACCTTGATAGGCCTCTTAGCTCACATGGAATTGCATATAAACCGCCCTCGCCGTTACGCTCTGTGCAAAGTCGCCGAAAGTCCTCCCCAAGGGGCCACCCTTCAGGCTGGCAGGGTACCTCCGCAGCTTGGTAAGTCCCCTCCCAGCTTAATGCGGTGATGCCAAGAATACATAACTACCCTCTTCCCGGAATGTCCCTAGCGACAACGTCAAGCATCCGGAGACGGGTTTACCGGTAGCCTGCGCGAAGTTGCGCTACGGTCAAGATCGTCATCCTGCCAACGCAAAGCTTGGGCGTTTCGTCCTAACAAACAGCCGGTCATCCAGGGTACGGTTCTCCTACGGCTTGCAAGCCACTCGCATCTCGCCAATCTACTTGGAAAAGCTAGTTGTACGGCCCGTCGAAAACTCCACCGGGATCCCCAGCGGCGACATACAGGCGCTGCCCAGCCATTCGCAACACAAAAGGCAAGGTCATCCGCGCCACACAGCCCATGCTCCAAAGAATGCACAGCACTTTATAACAGCTCTGCAACTTAAGACCCCGTACACGAGAATTATGCCTGCAGTCTTTCAGCCCTTGGTTTTCAGCAGCGCATGACAAACGTATGCCGTGGTAAATACAGCCTACTCCTTTCCTAATGGCAGCCTAGCCACTCTAGCTACACCCGCAAGTGGGCGTCACGCCGGTCAGGCCAAGGCCAAAAGCTTTCCAAAACTATTTCCCAGTCGACGAAGTCCTTCTCCCGTTCCCAGTCCGCCAGCCCCCAGCCCGCTGTAAGCTCTCATCTCAGGGTCAGAGCTGTAAGGTAGAGGCGGTCTAGGTAGCCCGTGAAGTAGGCAACCACCAAGATGATTAAAGCCGGCAGCAGGAAAGCGGCGGCCAGGCCAAGAAGCAATCCCGTGTCGTCGCGCTGTAAAGGGGAAGACAGAGCGGCGAGGTACAGGAGGGCGGGCCGCCATGTAAAGGATGGGAAGCTGGATTGCAAGGTAACCGAAATTCACCTGTCTGTTCCTGAGCAGAAGCAGAGTGCACGACTGGAGAGGACGGCTGGAGATGGTGGCGCCAAGTGCTTCCTGACGTTCATTATCGGTCCTTTCCTCCCTCCTAGCCAACATGACTTAACAAACGTCCGCCGTAGAGCTCTAGATCGAATCGTCGGTCCTGCCGGTCGCTAGGATCCCGCCCTCCTGGCCCGCAAATCCATCCCTGGCTCTACCACCCTGCCCGCCATGCCCCCCCTGCGTGTACTGTGGCCGACAAACGCCATCTGGCACAGCGCTCACCGACCTGCTCGTCGATCTCCATGTAGGCCTTCCGCCTGTCGATACGCTTCTGGACCTCATTGACCGCCATCTTGTTCCGCTGCTGGGCGGCGTACTTGGCGGCCAGCCGCTCGCCTTTGACCCGGGGAGGAAGATCAGGGTTTTTTGGGGGGGCCGAAACAAGGAGGGCAGGAGGGCATGGGTCCGGGGCCCGAGCGACCAAGTCCCAACAGAGTGCACCTCTGCATACACCAAGTCAAGTCCATTTGGATTTGCGCACAAGTCGCGTCCTCTATGTGCTATGATGCGGCATCTCCACAAAAGCGGCATCTCCACAAAAGCGGCACGCCATGCTGCATTCCCTAAAAGGTCACACCATTCAGTTGACCCATCCCATCCCACCCCAGGCTGCCACACGAGGCTAGTAGAGGCGGTTGGGGAGGGCCCCCGGAACTAGCCCCGATTGGGTTCCATCAAACGGCTGGACCTTTTCGACACCCACCATCGGCCTAACGATCCGATGTCCAATGTATAGCCATATTCTCCGCGTGCATGGGCGTTGGGATAGGACCCGGCATTAGCACCCAGCACTTTCACGGGTTTCGGAGCGCCGCCAAAAGGGACGGGACGCTGCTTGCACCCGCGGTGACCCGTCAGGCCCTCATGTCATCACCGTATGGCCCGGCAGTGGAATGAATGGACCTTACCTATCGTTTCATTCTCCCCGTCGCTCACACTGCCCAGCATCTGGTCGATGCTGCTGAAGCTGCCTAGTGCATTGTCAGGCGACATGTCAAGCGCGCCGTTGCTTCCACCCTCGCCACTGCTGCTGCTGCTGCTTGCCACGCCACCCACGCGTGCCGCCGCCTCGCCCTCCGCCTCTGCGCCGCTGTTCGGGGTTGCGCTCGTGGCGCCAAATATCACATCCATATCTGTGGTACATGCGCACCGCGAAAGGCGCAGGCGTCAGGGTTGACAATGCAAACACATGCGCGTGGACGGAAAGCGCCTCCCTCTTCTTTTTCCCCCAACCGACCAACAGGCAAGTAAGCACCGTTTTCAAGAGCATGGTGTCCTTGGAAAGAGGCAACCGAATGGCAACTACTTGGCCCTGGCCTCTTAAACAAGGCCCTTATATTCCGTTGACCGGTTAACATCACACATTTGACCACAGGCTTCGGCGATTGCGAGCTGCCTCCGTCCACCTCCAAACCTGCCCCATCACGCCGCTATCCCTTGCCTTACCCCCTGAGCTCATGAGCGGCTCGAACTCCAAGTCAATGGGAGCGGAACGGCGCATTTTAAATGTGTCCACCACAAACCTCAGGCTGGGGCGGTCCTCCAAGCTCCACATGGTGCCGTACCGCATGGGATCGCTCAGGGCGTTGAGTTTGTAGCCGCGACGCACACCCAGCTGCGGCAGGCGTAGAACAAAGAGAAAAGAAAGAGGGTGAAAAGGGAAGGGGTTGCAAGATGATGGAATATCGATTTCCGTAGCATGCTGGGGTAGGTAGCTAGCTAACAGTCCGGCAAACCTCACCGCCAGGGGAGACCAACGGCACCGATAACGCTACGCGCAACCCTCCCGTATTTCTGTGTCCAGCTTGAACAGTCACTGGATCTGTGCATCAGCTGGGGTTCGGCCTCTCACCCCCACCACTACCACCCAAATCACTATCGGTCAGTAACTTTATAATTTCTTAAAGTATCCGTCTATCTCTGGTGTCTGCTTCAATCGTCTGTGGCTCGTCTTGCCCGCACCATCCACACCACCTCCACCGCAGGTCGAGTGCCAAGTACAGGCATCCGCAAAATGTCCAGCACCGTTCCTTAACGCCTTCATGCACAATCGTACAACCGTGGACCGGTGCCATCCGCCCGCCACCATGCCCGTCATCCCCGAGGCGTTTGTTTCCCTCCCTGCCCGCCGAGCCCCTCCGGGCCCCACGGGTATGGTGTTTTTTTCCACACCACCGCTCATCGACTCCAGCCCATGACACGCCCCGACACCCCACTTGTATCCAGACAGGGCTCCGTATCCCAGCGCCCGTACCTGTTCCGCTGTGCTGCCCTCCGTCACCTCCGTAACCACAATGGCCTGCCCCTTGCCCTGGGGCACCAGCCCCAGCCGCACCGTCTGCAGAGCCTCCAGGCCTCGCAGAGTGATCCTGGTGTGGGTGGGTGGGAGGCAGGGGACGGTCCCCGGGCAGCGGCGACCGTAGTAGAGACAACATGGGGGGTACGTGGAGGATAGGCGGAACTGAACGATGGAATTATGGCGGGAACTCTGTGGTTGCGGCGGTCGTACGTGGAGCCGACGGCTGGCGAGAAACGTGCGTGGAACATCCTGCTAGGAACATCCATTGTCGCGACCTGACCCGACTCACTCGAACTTGCCGACTGGCACCGCCGATGATTCGGCAGATGGTAGAATCGTACTTGCGGTGGATTGGTTTTGGCTCGCGTTGCATGCTACAATGAGCAGCGCTGCGCCATAGTAAGGTTTAATTGCGGGGCTTCTGTGGCCTGTAAAAGCAAATGCACCAAATAAAAATTCATTTGTAAACTTAAGAGTAACGTCCTCTGCGTTTGTGATTTTGTAGTCACGCGGAGGCGTTGCGCAAGTCCTTGGCGAACGAGCGACCGACTTGCCTGCGATGACTGATCGCCGCACACGTCCCGTGACAAGATGTTCTGTTTTGCAAACACTCTTTAAACTCAGCCTGTTCGCACTCAACATCATGGCAGCGCTTGTCATCCAGCAATATGGGAGGGTCTGCACAGAAGTTTAGAAACCTTGGTTCTTAAACTCGATAAGATCGTTTAGATATAACACATATATAGCTATTCTTAAATGTAGTGCAAGGGAAAGCTTGTGATTGCGCCAGTGTGTGTGGACATCGCGCAAGGTCTCGGAGCGTAATGTCAGCCTAAAGGAGCCTAAGCCTTGCCGTCGCGTTTTACTTGGCAAGACAGGTCTGCGCCCTTTGCACATCAGATGTAAGAGGGTTTAAACATCATCCTGTTTCCCGTCTGGGAGACTGCAGCTGGCTGCAGCTAGCTGCAGCCTTTGACAAACACACACAAACTGATGCCGCCGCAGGCTCTGACGCAGTAGCGAGGCGTTTGCATGGTTGCCTTTAACAATCGGACGGCAGATAGATAGCCATACGTAGTGACGCATCCTGCATAATCAACGGCATACTTGCGAGCTGGCGACGACTCGTAGACACGTGGACGTTTTCTGTTAAAATGTCGGTTAACATCGGCACATGACTAACACCTGCACGGTTGCGTGTTACTTATCCGTTGCCTCTAGATCGGCAACTGTGCCTGCATCCGTTTGCTCCAAATTGCCGTCTAAAGTCATTTACAACGGCCACTTCACCGCGAATCGCAAGGCTCACCCTGCGCTACCCCTTTCCTGTCCAGCCTACGGCTTCACAGTACGGTACCCGGGGTCCACACCGGGACGAAAGAGGACCGCGTGGGCGGTACGGCAGATGTGGACAGCCAGCAGGAGAACCCGACTTGGGTCGAACACCATCGCCCTAACCGAGCGTTACGTATCTCGTTCCCTTACCCTTACTTGCCTATCCACTCCCACACGACAGACGTTTGTACCAATCCGTATCTCCGGTCCGCTGCGCGCTGACGTACGGTGTGGTGAACTTCACCATTCATTTAGCGATACCTCGGACCCCCAAAGTTACGGTTGTTCCAAACAATTATCCCAATCGCTGCATGGATAGCTAATCCCTTGACTGGACCGTTGTCTAAAAACGCACGCTAGAAAGCCGAGCTAAACTTGACCACCATTCCGATACCTTTCATAGAATTATATTCACGAACTCGCACACCGGCGCCTCGAAATTTCGAAGGTCTAAACATGGATCAAACGGGAGCATAAAGCCACGTCCTTACAGGCGGTTATGCTATGGCTATGTACGGCACTAGCCAGATCCATGCACAGCATGCTATCCCGGCGCCGTGCCCGACCCACAGCCAGGTCAGCTGCTAATGCCGCCAGCCTGCTTCATGTCCACCTGCCATTTGCGGCTCTAAGAACCCTCGGAATTGCAACCTTGGCCGTTGGTTGACATTATTACGGCTCATAACTAATCCGGATTCAGGTCCTGACACCGATTCAGACGTTTTCCACGTCCCCGCTGCAACGGCTGCTCCGCCCCCGCCTGCTGGAACATCCCCTCCCTGCCCTCGTGACCTGGCCTCCACCGCGCTAGGTGTCGCTGCTGCACCCGTCGATGCTTGTGCAGCCGCAAACTCCAGCACAGTCGGCCCAGTCGCCGTCGGCTCGGTCGCCGGGCCCGTCGCCTCCGCCGCTTGAGCCGCCGCGTCACGATCCTTCCCCCCCCCTCTAGCACCGGGCAGGGTGACCTCTGAGCCGCCGCTGGGGTCCGAGGCGCCTGGGCCCTGCTCACTGGTCGGCGGCTGTAGCGCTGATGTCGGCGGCTGTAGCGCTGATGTCGGCGGCAGTGCTGAGAGGCTCTTGTCGGTCGCACAGACAGGACGTCCTCCGGCTTCACGGTTCTCAGTGCTGCAGGGTGACCGTGCGCTGTCAATGGCCCACCTGGCCCCGTAGCCCTGAGGAGTGGAGCAGTTGGTGGATGGGCATGTGGATGATCACATGGGCTTCTTGGTGGGCTGCTTCGCGGGTGGTTGGGAGGTGTCGCGGTCGGTGCTGAAAATACCGTTAGCCCCTTTTCATGTCACACAAAAGTCCAAAAAGGTGTCGTTGTTCTCCCCTTCCCCCCTTCCCCCCCCCCCCCTCCGCCTGCATGGCGGTCCCGTCGACCACCTGCATCCCATGGCATAACAGATGCCGTGTAACTAACCCTTATCGTAGTACTGCTGTACCGTTTTCATTGGTTATAGTGCAAATATAGTCAGTGTTACCATCAGTCTGACGTAATGATATGCCATACCTGCATGTTCCGTATTTCCAGTACGTACTTGGGCGCGTCGAAAGGCGGCAGCTGATGCACGTTGAGCCACAGCGCGGTTCCCATCAGCCGCCGCAGTGACCCACGGGCCATCTGGTTCTTTGCGGCTTCGCTGCCGCTCATCCGCGGCCACCACTCGCCGCGCAGGTCTCGGTGCGTGTGCTTGCTCAGTGCACGAGCGCCTGGGCGGGGGAGACATGAGATGCAAGCGGGGGAAAAAATGAGAGATACAAACAGCGGGTTTTGGAATCAGCTGTTGCATGCTGTTGGCGCATTTGCTGCCGCAACAAATGTCCGAACGGCCCCTGGTGGCTGCACGAGTCAACGCACGACGCTCAGCCGACCCCACGACGCCAGAGAATCGTAAAAAGGGGGGGGCCATGTAAGACCCAACAACGTATCAACAACTTACCCGGTCATGAAGGGTGCTCACCCTCGTGCTCATAGACCCACATAATACCCACATAGCCGCGTAGCCCGTACAGACACGCTCCCCAGCTCCCACACGTATGCACCTATGTCGTACCTACGTCGTACCTACGGTGAGTATGCTGCCGTTCCCCCCCTGCACCGCGTGTCTGCGTTCGAAGGCCTCCCAGCACTCCGACGACGACGGCAGCGCCACCAGCCGGGTGGCACTGCCCGCAGTCAGCCGGAAACCCAGCAGCAAGTACACGGCGGCGTCATTCAGCAGCAGCTGCCGCAGTGCGGGGGTAGGACCGCGTAGAGGGGGCGCACTGGCGGCGGCGGGGGCGGCTAACGTGCCGGAGGAGGCAACGAAACCCCCTGCTCCTGGAGGTATGGCTTCCTCTGCACCGCTTTCCCGCATGCAGGGCGCTGAGCCGGCCGTGCCGCCTCGACGAGTGGCGGGAACAGGTGCCCCCTGCGGCTCACTGCCAGGTTCCGGAGCGGGACCTGCGCCCGGACGGGGATAAACGCCCGCCGATAGCTTTATCTCGGCCTGTACGGCAGCCGGCTCGGGCACTAACAGGGGCAGCAGGGCTTCCACCTCGGATAGTGTCGTGTCGTACATGTCGCTCTCCTGTAGCAATGGCGGCCGCTGCTGTCGTACGATTGGATACGGAAAGCGCCCTGTGATCCTCCAGACTGCAGCTGCCCAGGCAAGTTGTAACGCGTACGGACGACGCACATAGCCACTCGGCAGGAAGCCTGGGTGCCTCAGGCCGCATGGGCCAACTGAAAGCGGCGGGACTGGCTCCTGCTGCTGTTGCTGCTGCTGCTGCTGTTGCTGCTGCTGCTGAGGCTGATCAGCGTGCGGGTGCAGTGATGGTGGCGGCGACGATGCGATGGAAGCGCTGTCACCCCCTTGTGCGTTGAGACTGCAGACTTCTTCCTCCCACCACCACGACAAGTCGGGGCAAGGTCCTAAGACCGTTGCTCTGGCCCCCACGGCCCCCACTGACTCCGTCACGGCCCCACCAGGGACCGTTATTGCGGGTTCTGCTTTCCCGGATTTCCCCGCTGGTGATGTGTCTGCCGGATCTGTCGCCACCACCGCCGCAGCTGCGATGCCTTGGCAGTCCGGCGGCCGTGGGGGGAGCTGCGGCAGTTGTTCCTGACGCAGCAGCTCGTCCAGAACGGCACACAGCTGAGCATTAGCATGCGGTAACAAGTTACTTGAAGCTTGCTCGTCTGAAAGGATGGCATGTCGGTTGCGGGTCCGCGTTGGGGCGGGGAAAGCAGGGCCGTGGGAGGGGTAACGGATCGGGCATCCTGGGTAGAGAGAAGAAAGAATTAACGACAACAGAGAACCCACCTGAACGTAAGGGCCCGGGGGACTGCAATATGTAGTCGCGTGTGCGCTTCTGTAGGGAGGGCGAGCAAAGTCGGCCGCTTTTTTAATACCCTTGCAGGGCTAGTACGCTATGCAACTCTGCACGACAACGCTCCCAAACCGGGGCTGGAGTCCTTGACTACGCAACTCACTTGATGATAAAGTTCCAACATCGCCATGACTAGTTGGATTGTGGCCTCCCTAGCTGCAGCTGCGAGGCTTGGATCTGCAACTGCGTTGTCACCTTGGGACACGGCCGACGTTGTGGCGAACATTCCAAACGTTATATCGACGTGACCTTTAAGGAGTTTATGTAAATAAAAAGTGCAACAAGAGCGCCATGGCCTAGCGAGCCTGATGATATGCCTTGGGCTCCAATTCGTGCGTGCAAGTCGCATTTGATGTTTTAATGCCCTAGTCTACAGCCATCCTGACTTACAGCATGCCCAGCTTTAAATTCTGTTCATAAACCTGATGTCCCAATGCCGATTCTCAACAACTCGTGCGTGCATAGGAGCTCGTTAGTAATTGTTTGGTTGGTCGTTGTATACTGTAACCGCCAAGGGCTGAAACTCCTGCGCGGGCGGTGCCCCAGTCTCAGTCTTTCAGAAGCCTTGGCAAAACTTCAGCCATCTCATGAATCCGACAAAAAGGGTTGACTGCTCTCACTGCCTTGCCTTTGCCGCGCTGATGAAATTCACAACTTCTTAATCGTGGTGCGCTTCGGAGTTGGGGTCGGCAATCCCCAACTGCTGATCTTCTCACCGTACTCCATCTCCTTTACAACCGAGGCAGCAACAGCAGATAACGAAGCACGGCGAAGCCGTCCATGCCTCCGCGTGGCCCAGGCTCCACCCACATCGGCACGTGCAAGCCTGCTCTCCCAGTCCATACGATGGTTACATAAGCCTTGTTTACATGTAGGCGCAACATCCAAATTGCCTAACGTAGCTACGGAAGCGCCTCACGGCGCATGGAAAGAACCTGATCGCACGCTGATTTCCGTTAAAATTATGGTCGCTTTGCGACAGCAATATCACCTCACCCTCTCACGCTCATCAGCCATACCAGCAGCCGGACCTGAACACCGAGAGGCGCGTCACCAAGCCTGGACGACGCATCCACAGTTGACCATTAGCGACATCCTGAGAGGCATGCTGTTCGCTCTGGGCAAGAAGCTTCCGTGCGCGGAACAATCTGAGCACCTAATAAAGGGAGATCTATCCACCGCTGACACATGGCACAAGCGCGACGTTGCCCTGGACACACGATACTGCAGTGCACGGAAAAAAACGCTGCTAGCCGTAAAGCCCTCCGCTCGGTAATGCCCACACCAGCCCCATCCTGTCGCGCAGACCTGCTCCTTCTTGAAAGAACCCACCGCGGTCTCTTCAGCACGCCTTGGAACGTTCTGTTCCTCTAAGGCGAGTTATGTTCGATGCTCAGTGGCAAGCGGGTTGCCACGCACAATCGCGAACCCTGCTTTGCTTCGTGCCCTGTCGGGGCCTCTCCTTATCCATGGTGTCATGTTGGCCTAAGTTGAGGCTACCCCTTCCCCCCCAACACAAACCCAGCATCGCGTCTTAGTTCATAGCACCGCACCTTCAAAAAAGTGTCGCAGCGGGAAGCATATACTGCACGGCCAGACCCATACACCTGCCCTTCCAGTACTTGCCACCTGCCACGGCCAGCTTCAAGAACTGCTATGCATAATAAGTAGACGAAGCATGACACCGCCGCGAGATATGCTACCGGGCCTGATCAGATTAACAAACAGCCTCGAGAAATACCTACCTATCCAACAATCCCAGCAGCCTTCCTACCAGTCGTCTGTGGCCGATCCGGCGTTGCCCCGCATGCCGAACAGTGGCCAAGACACATAGCCTTGACTGAACACCGACCTACCGTACCGGTATTGTTCGTACCACAACACGCCGTACTTGCCGCCCACCACGAGCCCTGCCGCCAGAAAGATGCTAAGCAGGCAGTAAAAGAACACCATGCCACCAGACACCCCCCGCCGGGGGGGTCGACGGCAGTTGCCGCCCAGAACCAGGGTGCTCCCGTCGGAGAGGCGTGTTGAAGAGGTGCCGCCCTGCAAGGAGGGTGAGGGGGCGCGAGGTGGCCGTCGGCATGTGGCGAAGTACCGATACCGGCATCCATCATTGGCTTTTGTTTTGTCATCCGGAGGGGGATGCTTTCGGCACATGTCCATGAAAGTGCCTGTTGTTCGTCCACCCGTGCAGCTGCTGGACGACGTGGACGACAGGCGATTGTCGTTGGGACAACGCCTATTTCCGATGAACGCGGGAAAGGCGCAGTGAAGAACAGACCGGACCGCTGGGTGGCCGTCGCCCGTGGGGACCCAGCAGCTTGCTGAGGACCCGTTTTAAGCCATGACACGTTGTATACCGTTCCGCTCTATACCACACGTCCTGAATTTCCTCGGCGTGGCCGGGATGGCCACCCATGCCTTCGTCCGGGCCCTTGGGGCCCTTGCATTCGCGTTTATTTCTTGGCCATGTCCGGCTTTACTTCTCATCAACACACACCACCAACAACCCCGATCGCCCAGGTTCGTTCTTGTCCGGGTAGGGTGTATTCTGCAGGCCCAAGCCCCCACACGCTACACCGCCCATTTACCTGGCGCTCATAGCCGGACAAGCAGGACACCACACCGTTGGTGTTGCCCGCCGCCTGAGTGGGGGCTGTGAAGGCGCACGAGGCTGGGTCACCCGCCGTGGCGCACAAGCACACCGAGAATGCCGAGCCGCCGTCCATGTCGTAGGCCCGCCGCAGGCTGCCCTCCTCGCAGGGCGCAGCGATGCATCTGCGGGGGTTCACGGCAGGTGTCAGATGGATGGATAAGTCGCTGGGTGCGGAAGTGGGAGCATCAAGAGCGCCATTAGGGCTCAAGGACGTGGAAACGGGAAAGAGTAGCAGAAGCACCACGACGAGCAGCACAGCTGCCGCACCGCCAGCCATAAGGTGCACAGGAAAAAACAGACATCCATACGCCACATCAATTGTAGTCGTGTTGCTGCTTCGGGCTTTCCTGCAAATGCGGCGTGACGAGGGGTATTTTCCCTGCCACGCACAAATGCAACCAGAGCGCAACCGCAGACAATCTGAGAGCTGGAAGAGTGTGCAAACTATGTGCTAGCTGAGCCCACGGCAGCGGCAGGCCCCCGAAAGCCGAAACTCGCAGCACGCACAGCATCCCTTTTCGCGCGCCCTCTTACTTCTCCCCGTCGGCTGCCAGGCGGAGTCCCTTTAGGCACTGCTTAGTGCCTGGCAGGCAGGCGGCTTCCAGGGTGCAGGCGGCTCCATCCGCCGGGCAGGCGCAGCGTTGAGTGCAGAGGAAGTCGCCTGAGGCAAGCAAATCGCCGTAAGACAGTGGCGAGCAAGCGATGCGTAGGAGACAACAACATCCTAGACAGCTAGTCTTGTATCCATAGCAAATGAAAGATCGTCCTTCGTTGTGGCGCCCATCCAAATGCCGCACATGGCGGCGTGGCCGGGTGCAACGAGAGACTCTTAACATGGTCTGCAATGATCAGGAATTCAAATGGAGTTTGGAGCGGGCCTTGCGCTCGGCGTTTCTTCTATAGGGATGCCTTATGATGTCAGGTCAGGACAGGGGTAAAAAGTAAAAGACAGCCCTCGGGTGCCTCCAGCTTTAGCAGCAAGGCAAGCTGCGGGTGCTGGTGCTGGTGCTACCGTCGCTATGAAAAGCTTGAAGAATCAGAACCCCCTAGGTTCCCCATCCGGCCCGGGACGCAAACACAGCTCCGGGAAATCCCCTTTTCGCCTGGCCGAGGCAGGCGTCCTGTCGTGTTTCCATACCGGACGGGTCGGTTGCGGTGTAGTTGCCCGCCATGCACTGGTCCTCCACGCACTCCACCTCATCGCCCTTGCGCCGCAATTGGCCGTGCCCCTCTCGGGGGCCGTCGCATTGCAGCTCCTCGCACGACTCGTCGTCAAAGCTCTTGCCGTTATCTCGGCAAGGCGCCCAGCACGTGCCGCGCAGGCCCTCGCGCCGCACGGCGCGGCGGGTGCCAGGGGTGCAGACTAAGGTTGAGGGGTCCACGGAGCAGTCATGGCCCAGGAAAGGGGCCTGGGGGGCCGGAGCAGGGCGCCGGGCACGGGCGAATGCATTATCGCATAATGCAAGAGATAATGGTTCGGACCGAAACGCAGCCTCCCCTTATTTTTTCACTACACGCAAGCGTGCGGGGATACCTACAAGCGTCTTAGGGATCACAGCCTGCCATGCAAAGAAGCCAGGTTGTTGCTGCACCGGCCCTCAGGTTGTTGCACCTAACCTGGTTCGGCAGTCCAATGCATATGCCGCCTACGCTGCCAAGGCCCCCACCGGTACCCATACCCGTTCACGCACCTCGCACGTGCACTCTCCGGTCGTGGTGTTACATGTCCCGTGGCCCGAGCAGTCTGCTGGGCACTCGCCCATCAGCGACGGCATCACGCTGTAGCCCACTTGGCGAAGCGGGCTGCTCAGGGGGTTCCACACCAGCACGTGCAGCGACCCGTCGTCGCCCACCTACACGCACGACGAAAGCCACCCATCCGTCCTAACACCCCAACAGCTCATGGCTAGGCTATACTGGCCAGCAGGTAGGGGTGTGGTGCAGGGTTTAGCATCTGACGGTGTGTAATTAAGAGTGTCTTGATAGAAATCTGACAACTTCGATGAAAGAGAACAGCATGGCTGTGGCAGAGGCGCACGGAAAAAGCTTCCCTACGGTGTTGCCTGTGGGACTACCAGACGAACAAGGCGGACTAGCATTAGAGCCAGTACCTCGCATGGGCTTTATGGATCAATCATAATCCGTGGGCAAAATCGCAAGCTCCGTTCCATGGCCAACATCGGACACCCACCGCCCTGGGCCCAATTTCAATGGAGTACGTCGCCCCCCGCGCCGCCAGCGCCACGCTCTCAACCGCGCCCTGCGGGTGCAGCGGCCGGCCGCCGCCGTCAGCATCTCCTCCACCGCTCTGGTTAAGTGCCGCCTCCAGCGACGGCGACACGAACAACACCGGCCTACCGATCAAGCAGCAGCAGCAGCAGCAGCAGCAGCAGATCAGCGTCACACAACACAGCGGCGAGGTGTATGCGATAGACAGAAACACTACGTGGTGCGAGTGACATCGGTGCAAAAATGCGACAAGTCGATCTCTACCCATATCCAACCCCTGACTCCTCTCTTCCAGCCGCTCAGGTCGTATCATCACAATACTGGATACTGGATATCCCGTTGATACCAGCCCAGCCCAGCCCAGCCCACCCGCCCACTCACGAACCTGCCGGCCACCCAAGAAGGCAACCCCTGAGGATCGGTGTCCGTTGTGGTGAAGGAAACCGATAGGTTTATGCGCCCCAAGTCGGAGGCTTGCAGCTTCTCTCGCGCACCGCGAAGCACTAGCGCGTCGTAGGTGAAGGCGCGCGGTGGCGCGTCAACCGCCTGCCCCATCGCCAGCTCGTGCAGGGCGATGGAGCAGTCCTTGGAGGCTGGCCACGTAGACTGCAGCACAGGAGAAACACAGGGATAAGAACCGGAGGAAATAAGGACCGGAAGAAGGATGCGGAAAAAAAGGATGTGGGAAAGACGTGCTGCGGGCATGTGCTATTATTCAGCTGCGTGTAAACCAAGGCAATCCACATAAACAGCGACTATGGCGGCGCAAAATGCAACCCCGTCGCGGATGAGTCTTGCTGGCGTGGACTCCACCTGAACGTGGTGCGAAACGTGCAACGCGAGGCCGCTACACACAAGGAGTCACTCCTGTTGACACTTCACCTACCCCACGAATGCTGGGGCAAATGCTGTTACGGAGCAGATCCGCACCTGACTGCACGTGCACGTGCCGGTGTTGGCGTCACACGTACCGCGCCCACTGCAGTTGTTTGGGCAGTCGTACACGGCCGACCCCATGGTGAACGACACGGGGCCTAAGCCCGTATTGTGCACGCCTACATACCAGGTGCCTGCAGGAAGGCCAGTCAGTGTGAGACAAGGACGACTATACATCCAGGATTTGACCGGCCACGTCCACATCATCTTCTTCTTCGTCCAGGCCTCGCACTCACGACACCAATCGCGGTCGGGCGGGTCCAACCGCAGGGCCCTTGCGCAACACCACGGCGGAACCCCGATATAGGCTTTGGCCCTGGTGGTAACCTATCCTGCCTCCCATTTACAAAAAGTAACGCATATGCCTCTTCATTTGGAAGCGCACTACCAGCTCGAAGATTGCTTGCAGAGCATGAACGGCAAAACACGACATGCAGCAATGCAGCTTGACCCCCCCCCCCGGAACGGACATCGGCACCTGGCTGGAAGAAGGGGTGTTTGCGACGCAGCAGCAGGTGTGCGGACTGGTCCTGCCACCAGGATGCAGAGCGGGGAGCAGAGGCCGCATCACTGGCCAGGTCGTGCTGCCCCGCAGCGTCTGTCGGCAGCTGCTGGTGGCGTAGATACAGCACCAAGGAGCCTACGAGAACGGAAAGGGAAGACCGGGTTGAGAGTTTGGAAGAGAGCTTGGGAGCGCTACGGAAACAAACCGGAGCAAACGGGCAGGTGGACGTCGAGTAGACGGGGAAGGGACGGAGATAGAGAGGCACGCAAGTTGGTTTTGCTCGTAACAACAGCATGAAGACACACAAAAGCCACAAAGCAGCATTCACATAGCACTTTTGGAAGTGGCAACTAAGTTTTAAAGGGATACAGCTGCCGCGAAAAATGGAGTTGGGAATTACCAAAGCTGCAAGTGCGTGTGACGCGCAGGCAGACACCCTGGACGTAGAGATGCTCCCAAAGAGCCGATACCAACTGTAGCCGAAATACCGTTAGCATCGTTCCTGTCCCCAGCGCAAGGTCGCAACTAGCTCAGCGAGCCATCGCCTCCCATATGCGGCCACTCCAATCACCCTCCCCTGTGTGCCAATCTAAAAGCAGCAAAGCCAAAAGCTGCTAAACCCCATTCCTTCTATCGCTCTTTATTTCTCTGCCATCACCCCACGCACACACACCCATGGTACCGACGTGCCGCATCGCTCCAACACGACCACTGTGCCACACACACACACACACACACCCGAATGCGACGCACCCTTGGTGGCCTCTGCCGCGGCGGCCCACACGTGCAGCTCACGGCCAGCCGATGCTGACAGCTCCACACTGAAGAATGCCCAGTCGCCGGGACCCAGCTCCGAAACCGTCAGCGAGGCCGACGACTGCAGCGGGAGCAGCGCCGTCCTGCAGTCCTCAAAGCCCAGTCCTGAACAGGACCGTACACGCGGGCGGTGTTTGCAGGAGGAAGTACAGGTATCGGTATCGGAGACTTCCTAGCCTAGGGAGACATGGTAAGCTGAGCTTTCACAAGCTCGCAACTGAAGGAAGAAGACCACAGGAACGTCGGACGTGAGCGGCACTTCACCGGACTTCATCGGTTTTGCAGCTTCCACGTAGGCAGGCTGAGACTGAGCCGCTCATTCAATCCTGCCAATCCAGGCCTGCAGGTCGGCATGCATGTTGCCTCCAACCATCGGAATTAATAAATCCCCATGCGTGATGCCGCAGCCGTTTGGACCGCTGGCTATGCTCTGACGGCGAGCCACAGGCCCAGCCTACCACGCGGGGTAAACCCCCCGTAACACCTCCCTAAGCTGACTGACTATGCCCGCCTACGCAGCACCCCGTCCAGGGCACCAGAACATTATGAGGCCAGATTTCGCGGACCCCCTCCATCTGCTATTGTGAGACGCGCGAACTCCACGGCCACGATCCATTGGACGACTCACCTGGTGTGACGACCCAGTTGACCGGGGGCATGTACGGCGCTTTACAGGCGCAGGTGCCGTGTGGGCAAACGCCGGAGGATCCCCGGCCGGAACACAGCTGCAGCGTGCCGTTGGCGGCGAGTTCGAAGGGACATGAGTGCTCCGCTGCCCTGCACCACGGCGACGACCCACGGAATCACTGGTTGCGAGCTTGGCCTACGACATGAGAGCTAGACGCATAGCGCCTGACAACTGCCGGCTGCATGGTTCGTTTGGTAATCAGCACGAAGGGGCCACTCGCAAAGAGACTTTGCATGCGGAGGGCTAACACACCGGGATAGGCTGCACTCTACCCACCCACCCGACCCTAATCTACCCCACTCACCCCACCCCCACCCCACCCCATACCACCCGAATCCCGAGCCTAGCAAGGCCGAATGGAGGGTCTTTGTCAGTACAGCCCCACACCTGAAGGAGATGATGGTGGTGGCGTTGCTGGTCGCGCACACGTACATCCCTGCAGGCGTCAATGGCTCACGGCGTCGGTGCCCACAGCTGTCATAGCTGTCCAACGTAGCATTTCAAGCAATCCCATATGCAGTGCCTGCATTTGATCCTCGTGAGCACGGAGTTCAGGGCAACATTCACCCTCGTTTGAAGTGCATTTGAAGGTGGACACGACTGTACCGCCCGCCCGCATGGGAACACAATGCCCCTCCTGCCATCATCGTACGGGCTCCAGTACGCACGCACCTGTGTACGAGCCGTACCCCAGTTGCCGCCTGGTGAGCTTAACCTGGATGCTGGGTGACGAATAGGACGTGTGAGCAGCAAAGCTGTACGGTGCTCCCGAGCTGGGGTAGACCTGTGGGATTTCAAAAAGGGGCCAAGGAAAGGTATATTGCGGTACAAATCCATGAACGCAAAGCCCTTGGAAGTAGAACATCCCCAAGGGCCAAGCAGGGCTAGGAGGCCAGGGAGCCGAGCTCCAACAAGTCATGCCAGCCAGCCATGTTACAGAGTGGGAGGCTTCTGGGCCACTTGAACACATTGTCACACCATATAGCACCATCCACCATTGTCATTGAACACGATTTATCACACCATATAGCACCATCCACCATTGTCATTGAACACGATTTATTACACCATATAGCACCATCCACCATTACCACACAAGTCGTGCAAAACGCAGCTCGCCTGGGACCGTACCTGCGGTACCACCTTGGTAGCGCCGGTGGCTGGGTCCTGGATAGTGGTAAAGTTAGTGAGCAGGCCGTGTAAGACCACGGTAGCGTCCACGCTCTTGCTGATGAGCAGCAGGTTCAGGTGGAATGCGGAGCTCCCCATGCTGCAGCCGGAGGAAAGTGGACAGGGGGAAAGGAAGAGGGAGAGAGGGGAAGGCGAGCAGAGGGGGGCTATGGGGGAAAAACGTGCGCGGGGTGCCAAGAGCGGCGCCTGAGAACCCCAGTGGACGCCAAGGCATGAGTTGCGGCAAGCGGCGTCCAGGGGAAATGCCGCACGTGCCGTGGCGGATAAAATCTGGGACTTGGTTGTGATAAACGTAGCAATCATATTCGACAGACGTAGGATTAAAATATATCTGGCATAATATGTATAGCGCCAGCTTGCTGACACAGAAATGCCGGATATATAATGCTATGATGTGGATACCCCGCGAGTGGGCACGTCCCCGCTGGGGACTTCGCCCACATTGCCTCCCGCTCCGCTCACTTTTCAATGCCGGCGGAAAAACAAGCCGGCTCATTCGGGGTCACCACGTTGCAGACGTGGTCTTGCCCACAGGTCTCCTGTACGTCTTTGCCGTCTAGTGTCATGGTGTGCACCTGTATGGCACACTGGTCGCCAACCCAGCCGGGGGAGCCATTCGCCGGCAGAGGCGTGCTGCAGACGCATTTGCCGTCCACTTGGCTCCCGTGGCCTGAGCAAGCTGCTCCCGCCGTTCAAAATGGTGTTAGGAGGGTCGAAAGTGTAGGGTCAGGGCCTCTTGGCTTTAAATAACCGTGTTTCCATCCAGTATAAGTAAGCAAGCTGCTATTGCATGTTATGCTGTAATCATACCTTCATCGGCGAGGACTGCATATAGGGCCGAGCGGAATGAGAAGGTGACCAAAACGGAGAGCACGAGAAGCCCTCGTGCCCCCATGGTCCCTTTCCAAATCCAAATCCTATAACAACAGCTAGGACGGCCTTTGGAAAAGTTTGGGGAAAGGTGATGTCGTTCGTGTTAGTTAGTTGCCTCGCCACACAAACATTATGTGAACAGCAAAGATAAAAAATATTTACTATAATAAGGTGTGTAGATTCAGGTAGACTGTAACATACTAGATGCGGACTCAGCCGTTCTTTAGTTCCACGTTTTCCCATATTATTCCGACAGCCATAGAAAGCTGCTACCTGTAACATTGCCGTCTTTTTCAGTTATAAGTACGCCTTATACTGTTTTAGTCAGACCGTGTTGTTGTTGTCCATCGCTGGTCAAATTATTGTTCACGAAGTACCTAATGCTTCGCGGGCATCAATGCACGTGGAGGTGCCCAGCATCATGAGCGTTTGTGAATAAATATAGATGAGCTCCTATGCGGAGTTCCACCAGCAGCAAGGTGGACTGCTTGCCGCCGATTCTCGAAACCATGGTTACGCGGACCTCTATCTGCAGCAGCAGGCAGAGGCAGCAGCAAGCAGACGATCTTTACCAAGTGAGCTGCGTCACTTGGAAGTAGCATTCAGCTTTGCACCGGCGCCGATGCCCTGTTGAATGTTTGCAACGGCGTGTAGGCTTCCACCCGCGGCAAGCAGCAGAGGCTGCCTCCAGGCGCTCCTACTCAAACGATCAGTATAGGGTGGTCGTGTCAGCAGTGGATGAGGGGCTTGCACGGCGGCCATCGTCAGCACTGTCCCCAGGACACCAGGAGCTTGGTAGCTACGCGGCTATTGCCGCGGCTACTGCCGCAGCTACTGCCGTGGCCATTTCTTCAACTGGGGTGGAAAGCCCTGCCGGGCAAAAGTCAAAAGGGTTAGGAAATGCCGAGTCACAATCGCCGTCGCCACGGCAACGGCTGGACCCAAGCGTGTCGAGGTATGCTCGCTCGCAGGGCTAATGAGGGTTTAGGACAGTGCCTTGAAGCGAGATGATGTACAGGTACAATAAATAGATCTGGAATCGTGGCATTAGGCGCAAGGGATCTGATGTGGCGCTTTGACCCCATGATACATTCATTACTGCTTCATGGCACAAGCATCCAGGTGATGGGGCCCCCCGGTGCTGCACGTGGCGGGCCTCAGGCCCGCCACTACCATCCTCGCGCAGGCAACGGCCATGCGTTCTTCCAGACTGAAGCAGCTGGCACAGCGGCAGCAACAAACGCAGCTGCCGCAACCCACATCCGCTCCTGCGCGGCGGACTAGCAGGCAGCAAGTGCGGCTGTCTGCTGTCCTGCAGCAGGCTCCACATCTATACGACAGACAGAGGTTGTCGGCTGTGGAGCGCTTCATAGATAGGATTGATGCACTTCCAGCCCGCTACACAGAGGCGCAGGTGGGGACGACGGAAGGGTTTGCGAAAAAACGGAGGACATTCCGGGTGTGGGGCTTCCTTGAGCACAGCGCTTGTGGAGATGCTTTCGGGGCGAATATGGTTCTGCGGCCTGGTATGCCAGAGGTCATAGAGGTCTCGTAGGTTGCGAGGTGGCGAAAGCTGCCAAACCTTACTGGTCGGATGCCTGCGTGATCCGCAATTGACATGCATTCTTAGATGAAGACGCAGAAGTAGGCTAAACATACAAGACGAGGCTAAGGGAGATCAGCCGCAATGCTGGACCTAGAGGACAAACCCAGTTGGCAAATGCTGCAAGTGTTGGACTGCACTTGTCGGAACCTGACAGTCAGGTTTTTATGCCTACCTGTAAACACCTGTTCCACGGTGCCGTGAAGGTGGTGTTCCTCAGCAAGAACTCCCTCACCAGCGTTGCCGGCCTGGAGCAGTTCCGTCAACTGCGTGTGCTGGGTCTCGCCGACAACCTACTGGCCGACCCGGAGCAACTGGAAATGCTGGCATCGGCCTGCCCCGGCCTGGAAGCACTGTCGCTGGAAGGAAACCCAATTGCATACGTGCCATATTACAGGTCGGTGAAGAACCGCAGGGGTCCCTGAAAGGGGTGTGCACAAGGTGGTGCGTGGTGTATGTCTGAAAATTGTGCCAAGCTTGGCTACTGTACAAGATTTACGTGTTGCTCTTCGGCCAGCGGGCTGTCATTGGTCTTGGGCAGCCCCGGGGGCTGTGGATGGCGGGTGCAATGATGCGCCCTCGATGCCATCGCCTTCTCCGGGTGACCTATGCAGATCTCGCGTGCTACTTGCGCTGCCTGGCCTCAAGTCCCTTGACGGCCGGCCCATCACGGAGGAGGAGCGTGCCGGCGCTCCCGCAGCGGTGGCTGCGGAAGAGGCCACGATGGCGGTCCTGTTGCGCAACGCTTGTGAAGTGCACAAGATGGTGCGTCTGGCTAGGATTATTGCGCAGCTGCCGCAGTGCACGGCCCCAGCGGATGAACGACGCCCTCGGTTGATCTCCTCCTAGTTCCACGTTGACCAGGCCAAGTGACCGCATCCACACGAATCCGCACGAACTCTGAATGTGACTTGAATTTTCGTGGGTTCGTAGACTTCTCACCAGATGCGAGCAATGGTGCGAACCGCTATCATGAACCCACGGTTCTCCGTGTTTCACTGGGGTCGCCAGGACCTGGCCACAGCCGCCGTCAATCCGTACCGCTGCAATCACCCCCTGCAGGCAAGTGTGGTTCAGAAAGCACAGTTGCACATGGAGCTGTTGCATGTAATGCACAGCAAAGGCGCGGTGATGCGGCGTGTCGAGGCGCTGGGCGACGCCGCGACCGCAACCGTGGGCCGCAGCCTGTCGCGGCTGGTGGACATGTGGGATTACGAGGCGCTCCTGACCGCAGAGGTTCGTGAGGGAAAAGCTTGAGCAAGCTCACCGGCGAACACCCTCCTGGCTGCCTCTGTTGGCTAGGTCTGTGTTGCTCGAAGCTGTGCCCCAGCACTTAAGAGCTGGAAATGCGGCCGTGCTTTTTTCCTTGTCCCAGCATGGTTACCTTTTTGCTTGTGCGTCTGTATCCCTCCCTTGTGCGTCTGTATCCCTCCCAAGGAACGGCGCAAGATCCGGGGCGCCTTACTGCGCGAGGTCGGCCGCATGTACCGACAGCTCAGGGCGCAGCAGCCAGTGGCATCACGGGCGCTGCCAACATGGGAAGAGGCCTTTGCTCAGGTATTGACCAGTCGTGCTCTCGGCTTGCTTGCTCTCGCGCCAAGTGCCAGCCGTCAAGCATGTACATGGCAGGGCAGCTTATCTTGTGCCTGCAAAAAACCTCAAAGAAACCCCCATCACCTATTCCTGTCTGGCACTGGAATCGCCTGAAAACTGGCTGTTCAGGATTCCTGGTCAATTAAATTAATTCTATTTCCATTACACAAATGGATTTCCTAGGGAGGAAATGGAACTTTCCTCATGAACCTTTCACTGCAGGTCATGACGGCCCAGCAGCAGACCACGGCCATGCTGCTAGACCTGATGACGCAGTGTCAGTTAGCTATTGATGAGCTTGTGCGGACCATGGCAGCGCCCCTGGGACACAGAACCAACGACGCGCCTGTGGGGGCAGACGGCGGTGTTGGCATGGGCGGCAGTGAAGGGCGTGACTCGGCGCGCGCATTGTTGTTGCGCGAGGCGGAAGCAGACGAAGAACGGCACCGGGCGATGCGGCGGGAGCGTGAGGAGGTCCTGGCGGAGTTCAGGTGGGCTGCGAACTGACACAAGTTATGCTGTTAACCAAGCGCCCGCGCTTGCACAGTGTCTTTCGGTTTGTGAGGCTTTGCGACCTGCGGCGCCCTTTCTTCCAAACTGCTCAGGGACACTGCACTGAAGCATTTGCGCGGTAGTCCAGTGCGCCCGGCGCTGCGGTCGGTCCTAAAGTCCTCGCTCAAGCGCACAATGCAACCACCACCCAAGCACGGTTACGAGGGCGATGCTGAAAGCGGCAGCGACAATGACGGCAGGCATTCACCGTCGCACTCCGCCCCGCCCAAATGGCAGTCCGCGCGCTCCTCGCCTCCGGCGCCCGAGGCCGTGGAGCGGCTTATGCGCGCGAGGCGAGGTATTGCGCCAGCCCGTGTCACTGCCTCGAGTTTTGGTTCAGGTCCCAATGCAAGGCGCCAAGACCAAGCCGCGGCCCAGGCTGCAAAGAACCTCGCGGCGCCGCAGCCCCAGCAGCAGCAACAACAGCCCTCGGGCCGCCCATCTGGCGTGATGGCTTCCACAGATGCCACCAGCACAAGCGCTCGAACTGTAGGGAGGCCCATGTCGGCTGAGCCTGTCCCCATGCGCCATCGAGCCCAGCAGCAGCGTGGTGGCTCTGTAGAGCTGGCGTCTACAGCCAAGGCGCATGCCACTGCGGGTGGCGGATCAGGCTCAGCTGCAGGTTTGTCGGCATCAAGTGGCCACCGGCGGGCTAAGTCAGTGGATGCAGCTACGCTGACTGGGCGCAGCGTCGTCGGCGACGGTGGGCGCACGTCGTCCGCATCCAGCAGTCGGGCTCTGCTGCGGCAGCGACGGCGGTCGGCTCCGGGCTCCCCGAATAAGGCAAGACTTTTCCCTGGCGGGTACCCTGCTCAGTGCAGACGCGGCACACGCGATGTGATTCAGAGCACGGCTGCACTGAGGGACGGCAACTGCTTGTTGCACTTCGCCAGCCATTGCGTGGCAGGGGTTGCGTTAGTACTGGGATGGAAAAGTCACGTGCGCAAGAAGTTGGCAGACCCGCTCCCTTAGAAGACATGATCCGTCTTGCCTGCGCATCAGGCTCAACAGTTATGCAGAGAGACCTGTCAGGGTCGAAAATCCTTCCGATGGTGGAAGGTAAAGTGCCCCTAGTCGATGGACGGTGGTGACCTGGGATAAAGTTGACTTGCGAGCTGACCAGGAATGGTGTTGGGCCGCTGTCAATCCGGCAGATTCCGTTGGATGCCGGTGGTGGGTGTTGAACCTGAGCGATCCACTGAGGAGTTGACTAGGGTGACTAAATGAGGATGCCCCGAAATACTGGGGAAGGCTGGGTTTCGCCGGGTAGTGGCCACGAGTGAAGATATGCCCCCCCTGTCCCACAGTCATGCCCCAAGTTTTGGCAATGTTACGTGATGCAGGACATGGTGTCGCCTTCGTCCCCTTTGGAGAGGCCCGTGTGGAGGCCAGCAGGCGGCAAACCAGGTACGGCGCCGTACCCCAGAGCCTGATGCTTTCCGCTATGGCTTGCGTGCTGTTGTACACGCCTTTGGCTGATTACTCATAAATGGCACAATGAAGGAGACTGCTCAAATCTCCTTTTTCCGGCGCATGGCATTAGGAGGCGTTGCGCCCTACTAACTAGGTTAACAGATTAACAGATTACCACCAGAGGGTTACTGAGGCACCCATGCATGCGCCCCACAGATAGCGGGCGTTCCCCGACCTCGCCAGCAGACTTTAAGGACGCGGCACATGCCGTAGAGCGTGCTATGCGAGAGCTGAGAGCGCGCACCCAGGAGGTCGCCGGCACAAGTCCAGAGCGCATCCGCGAGCTGGCCGCCGCCACCGCTGCCGTGGCCGCTGCTACAGCTGCCGCTGGGATGGAGGGCGCTGCATCCGGCTCGCCAACTTCGCGGTCTATACTGCCTAATCGTGGTATCACCACCTCTCCGATGATCCTTGGCCGGCGACACCACCACGCCGCGGCTGCTAACGCTGCGCCAATGCCACCGTATTTTGCAGCTGTGGGACGACTACCGGACCAGGACGTGAACCAGCCTGCACACCAGGCGCGGAGGTCATTGCAGGATGCACTCTTGGGAACAGCCACATCACGTCCTGCTCCACTGCACCCAGCAAATAGCATGGAGGGGTACGGGATCCACGCGCCACGTTCTCCTAGATCAAGGCTTAGGGCTTCCTCTCCAGGTCCTCCTGGATTGCATGGAAGGGTTGTCGGCACCAGCGCTCCCCCAGTCGCTGCGTCTGCGCGGATCGACGATCTGAAGCGTGAGGTGGAGGAGTCTGCGCATGAGACGGCACGGCTGCGCCAGATTGCGGCGATGGCATCCATGCCGCTTCCGCAGAAGCTGGGCCTTGGCGAGGATCCCGCCTCCGCGTCCGCGTGGCCAGCACAGGCGCCACCTTGGCTTGCAGCCCCCACTGCGGACCTAGCCCCTGTGAATGGCGCGTCACAAGGCGGCGCCGGCGGCAGGTTTCCTCCTGACTTCATGCCGCCGTTGTCATCTCACTACCCAGGGCAATCACCTGGACCAGAGTACTTCTGGCAGGGCCATAGTACTTCACCGGCGGGTCCATCAGCGCCATGGTACCCTCTAGGTGCATCCTGGAGCGGGACGGCGGGGCACGGGCTTACTCAGTCACCACACGAGGACTTAACGCTCCGGCCGCGGGAGTGGAACACCGCGGCCCAGAACGAGCAGGCAGCCAGTCCGCTGCCGCAGCCGCAGATGCCGCCTCCCTCACTGCAGCCGCATCGCGGCTCCTGGTCAGGTCCCGGTCCTGTGGGCAGCATGCCAACGCCATATGCTCTTAGCAGGACGGCGGGGATAGAAGGCTCCGGTGCGGGCTTCGTAGATCTATACCCGGCAGCGCTGAGGCCTGTTGACCAGGGTCAGGCGCCGCCGCCGCATCAGCGGCAGCCGCAGACGATGAGTGCACTATGGGGTGGGCCGCCACCTGGCGGCACCGGCCCTGGCGGGGGCGGCAACGTAGTATTGCCGCATGACCACAGCCAGAAGTGGGGTCCAGGTGGCGCCGGCGCAACCTACGAAGCCTCTTCGGCCATGCCCGGGGCACAGCACCAGCAGCGGTACCCCCTGCCACAGACGCAATCTCGTGATGACGGGCGCTGGGGAAGCGATGGCTCGCTGCCGCAGGTTGGTCTGCCCACGACCTCGCCAGCCAGCGCCTGGCCAGCCGCCGGGGGTGGTGGGGCCGCGATGGGGCCGCTGCAGCAAGCGCAGCAGCTGCCGCAGGATTCAGGGCACGGTTTTCAAGGGAGACAGTCCGTAGGACACCAGGCCGGCGCGAGCGGGACTCTAGAACAGCCTCATGTGCCGCGGCAGCAGCCTACCGCACAACATCGCGGCCCCATGCAACTTCGGCTGCAGCCACCGTCGTTCCCGGCCGGGCCCGGCACTGCACCGCTGCTACATGGCGCTGCACTACAGGGGTATCAGTCGCCGCCACGGCCACCACCGCCGGCGCCGTTTCAACCGCAGTTGCAGCAACCTCACCGCGGCCTTTCCTCCAGCTCCCGGTATCTCGATGATGCCCTACCGCCACAGGACTCCCGTGTGCCGACCTGGCCGCATGATGCCGCATACGGCACTGCAGACCAGCTGGCAAACCGCAGTGGGCTATTCCCGTCGCCGCAGCTTTCAGAAGCGTACGCTGCGGCATCGGCGCCGCCGGCACCTGACGGTTTGGGGCTTCAAACATTTGGTCGTTCTGAACAGGTGACCCTGGGCGACTTTAACTTGATGCGGGCCAGTGTAGACGCGGTCGCGCCTGGCAGCATGCAGCCCTCTGCAACAGGCACACCGAGCTACAGCCAGCAGGCAGACAACGTGACGCGTGGATTTCCGTTCCAGCCGTTTGCTTCGTCGGCTGATGGAGTGCACTCGGAGCAGCCATCGGGGGTCGTCGATACGCCATGGCTGCAGGGGCCGCCTCTCCTGCAGCCGCTGCAGTCAGGTGAAGGTTAGAGCTCCGGGCGGGGCTTTGGGTAGCCAGGTGACACCTTGCGCTAGGTGGTGTGAGCACCAGATACATATTTCTGGTGCTCTCTCTGTCATGCTTATAGTTTGGATGTTGGCTAAGGAATGAAGCGTGATAACACATCTTCCACGCGGAGTTACGGGTCTCGGGGCACCCGTCTGGTGGTCTCGGGGCACCCGTCTGGTGGTCTCGGGGCACCCGTCTGGTGGTCTCGGGGCACCCGTCTGGTGGTCTCGGGGCACCCGTCTGGTGGTCTCGGGGCGCCCGTCTGGTGGTCTCGGGGCGCCCGTCTGGTGGTCTCGGGGCACCCGTCTGGTGGTCTCGGGGCGCCCGTCTGGTGGTCTCGGGGCACCCGTCTGGTGGTCTCGGGGCGCCCGTCTGGTGGTCTCGGGGCACCCGTCTGGTACTGATTCTGGCTGCTACGATTATCGGCATGTGCGGGCACGGCGTAGTCCTCATATGTCTGTGGTGGCTTGTTTCCTTGCCGTGCTTGTAGCAATGGTACTGTTACAATAGTACTGTTGCAATAGTACTGTTACTTGTGGCGTATGCTTTCCGCAGGTCTAGAGCTATTGCGCCCGCAGACCGCAGCCTCCATGGCAACGCCCGCAATCACCTTGCGTGGCCCACCAGGCACGATTGGCACTGTCGCGACGGCCGCACCGTCCGTCACAACCGTAGTGAGTGTTGTGGACGAAGGGCCCAGCGGCGGCGGCGGCGGCGGGGGCGGCTCCACTCGAGTGGATGTACAGGAAGTCCTTGGCGAGGATAGCACCGGCTCCAAGGACCAACATATTCACCTGCATATCCATCCACCACCCGTCCAGGTGAGTACGACAGGTGTTTCCCGTTTGGCCAACAGGACTTTGTCGTGGGCAGGCAGCTAGCCACAGGGACATGGAAGCAGAAGTTCACAAGGAAGGATAAAGGTTAAAGGTTGCAACGGAAAGCGCGCTGCTAAGGAGCCGCTGGTGCGGTTAGGGCAACGTGGCTCAGTTGATGCATCGCACGCACCGCCTCCTCCTGTGCGCTCCGCGTCTAAACAAACATGATCGTGCCAAGCATACCTTGAACTCTTAAACTCGTCATGCCTTCACCAGAAATCCAGACCTGTGCATTGGGGGATGCAAAGTGATGAAGTTGTCCTTTTGCGGCGAAATCCTCAGGTGCCGGCCACCACCGGTACGGACGCTTCCACACCCCAGCTTTTCCTTCAATCGGCGCCGGAACTTCGGCGCAGCGCCACGCATCCCGTCATCACCTCCATTCCAGCGCCACCGCCAACAGACGGCATCGCTCCCGCGTCCAGCATCAGTCTTCTAGTGCAACCTGGCTCACCACTGCACGAGGCTCTCTCAGTAGGTAACCTGGTGTACGAGCGGATCGAGAGGATCAAACCCGCAGGGCGCCCCGGCTCGCCTGATACCTTGCGGGAAACACGCTCCGCAGTGACTGGGCCGATGGGTGTGACCTTCGCCTCGCTTGACGACGAGCGCGACGGAAGGCCCTCACGCAAGGGCGGCTATGGACGCAGCGCCAAGGCTGGTGAGGCGCCTCGTGAAGGCGGTGGTGGTAGTGGGAGCGGCCGACGTTGCCGTGACGAACAGCCCGGATTCGGGTATAGTCGCCGCGATGACGACAACGACGATGACGACGGTAGCGGTGGTGACGGGGGCAGCCATAGCAGCGGCGGCGGCAGCCATGATCCGGGTCGGATCGGAAGGCCTGGCGAAGCTGTCAGAGGCAACGGTGGAGGGAGTCCCCGTACAGGACCCAGCGCAGGCAGCCGCTCCAACCAAGGCAAGCGGACACGCAATGCCATGCCTACGCATAGCCAGGATGCTGTAAGCGACGGCGAAGACGATGGCCTGAACGACACGGAGCTGACAAGGGACGACGGCGATGATGAGCACCTACGTGATGATCGGTATCATGACAGTGACAGTGCTAGCGACGACCGGCCAGGCGCGGATAATAATCGTGGGGCCAGAGCCACCGGTCGCGGTCCGAGACCATCAGGACGTCAAGGGCCAGGAGACAATAAGCATCGAGGCAACCAGGAGAACCGTAGTCCAGACGCAATGGGCCGGGGCGGCTCACTGTCCGCTAAGGTGCTGCAGCGGCAGGTAAGCGAAGTGGTGTAGCGTTACCGCTCCATAGGAACCCCAAAGCGTCAACTGCATTGCTGTGGCGGCATTGCCGTCCGCGTGGCGGGTGCATGACGGCATCGGCGCGCGTCGATATGGGCGTGTTGTGGTTCCTTGCACTGCGGCGCGCTCGTAGCCAGCTCGTTGCATGGTTAATCGAAAGCTGTTAACTGAGAGGCTTATGGGTCTCAACCTTCGGTTCTGGATGCAAAGCAGCTCGAATGCCTTTTCTCGCCACGTTGTTGTTGCCGGCAGGCCAGTCTATTCGGTATACAGTGCTGTGCATTCATTCCAGCTTGTTAATCCATTCCAACTCACGGAAAGGCTGCCTACCGAAAGGCGTACGGGTCTTAGCCAAAAGGGCGTGATGCGTGACGTCACGCATCCCAACGCATCTCGCTGCAACCACTGTGCACATGCTGACATGCTTGTTGATGGACACCGTCTCCTCCCACCTTCGCTGTCACAGTACGCCTCCCTGGAGCGCCAGCTTGCCGAACAAACTGCCATAAACGCCGCCCTCACCGGCCAGCTGCAGCAGCTGCAAAGCCTCGTGCCGCCAGCGGTGCTGCCACAGCACGCTCTACAGCAGGAGGCTCCACGGCAGGCTGAAAACGCAAATCCACAGCATGACGACGGGTACGGCCTGCAGACGGATTCCTGGACATCTAGCAGTCCACGTGTCGCCGTGCCGGGCGCCGTCGGCCGGTCCAGCGACACCGACGGCAGCGGCATCGGTAGCGCCAGCGGCGGCGTCACCAATTCACCCACTCGGCTGCGTCCTTTAATCAGCTCTGTCGGTCTGAGCCCACTCGGCACACCACATCAGGGCCCGACGTCACCCGGCCGTGGCAGCCGCGTTTCTCCGCGTTTACCAGTATGCATCAGCCCCGTCGCCGCCGCAGGATCAGGGTCCAGCCCCCGCGAGGATGACTCCATGCACTCGACATTGTTGCTGCTGCCGGAGGGCGCCACCCAGGGCTCCTCTCGACCCACGGCTAGGGACCCAGACCGGCTGTCCCCTCGACCGCCTGGCCAATCGCCACGTGCTGCGGGTCGCCTGCAACCAATAGAGGAACAGTTGCTCCGGAACCGCGCCATACAGGAGCAGATCACCCGACTGGGCGAGCAGCTGGCAGGCACGGCTGCCTCGGCTGCCAGCCTGGAGTTACCGCCAGAGCTGGCGGCCACTTTGGCGGGCCTGGCAACCTCGGTAAGGCCAGTGGCGGTTGCGAGTAGGCTAACCAAACATGCCACGCAGTTGACGAATTTCAAACACTGTTCCGGTCGTTTACCTTTGACGATGGGTGTCCTCAAACTTGTCAATGGATTTTACACTCTTACTCTGTTCGCATTCTAATCTAGTCCATTAGAGAGGGTTATCAAGGAGTTTTGACAGGGATTAAATTCCCGGCCCTACCTGCAGTGCCCCCCCTGACGCATCCAAACTGCCACGCAGAGCTCGCCTCTGCCCTCTGGCTCGCTGCGCGCCCTGGAGCAACAGCTTGTGGCCATGACTCTGGAGAAGGAGGCCGTGGAGCGGCTGCTGGTGCAGGAGCAGGCGGAAGTTCGGATGTTGCAGCAGGAGCTGGGAGTTATGGCGCAGGTGACGGCGGCGCTGGAGGATACACAGGCCCAGCTGCAGGTGGGGGACCGCGCGATGGGCACCTCGACGTGTCTTGGTCGCCAAGGTCGGGTGTTTGGACTGCGTTGGGGTGCGAGCGCCAAGGGAGCCTAAACAGGCCATGAATGCTAGGCCTTGAGGTCAGCACATTTAAACTCGTATGTCCACACACCGCAGAACCCGGCATGTGACTGCACTTTCCCATCCCCTTTCATGTCTGCTCCCTTAGGAGGCTCGCTTGGCTGTGGCACATCAGCAGCAGGAACTGCAGGAGCGGGACCAGCAACTGGCGGCCAGCCGCCAAAGAGAGGTCCAGCTAATGGAGGAGCTGGCCGCCGAGCAAAAAAGGGTGAGGGTTCTTTCCGATTGTCCCAAGCTAGAAACACGATTCCCACGCATGCCTTTCACACACAGCCCCACGTGCTTCACCAGGGGAGCTTCATCGGTGCAGCTTAACTGCACATCGTCGCTGCACACGTAAGAACCCACAGATAGACTGGTCCTGACGCCGCCGCTCCGGACACATGCAATGTGTACCCTTACCAGGTTGCAAGTCAAGTGGTCGCCATTGCGAGTTACTTCGAGCAGCAGTTTGAGGAAACCCGTGCGGCAATTGTCGCCGAGCTTCAAGACCAGGTCAGGACTGTTCGGTTGTCCTGTTGCCCGAGCATACCGGGAGGTTAATCCAAGTATGTGCAGGGTCCGTGCCTGCTCCGAGTCGATTGAACCTACAGTTAGTGACAATTGACAACACCACGACCTTGCGGTGCAGGTAATGGCCATGCCTGCTGGTCGCGGTGGCTTCCAGCTATCGTCCGTATCGCAGCCCCGCTACAGCCTCCAGGCCTACACCGATTCTCAGCCGGAATATATACGTACGGATATCAAGTCACCGATGCCTGACCTCTGTAGTGAACTGCCATCGCAGCTGTCGCAAGGTGACACCCTCAGTGTGAGCCAAACCGCGCAAGCACTTGACGAGCAGCTTTCCTCTCGAACCGCTTCGGGTGGCCGCACTGACCTAGGATCCCAGCTCGCGGGCTCGCTCTCGGCTCATTTGCTGGGCACACGGCGCAGTGTCCAGCACAGCGACGATGCGGCAGCACCGACGGACAACCTAGCGCCTGATGCAGCCTTTGCGACCCTGCCGGAGGCGCTACGCTTGGAACTTGAAGCGCAGGTCGCGAGCGCACGTGCCAGTCTTGCATCCCAAGTTGCCGAGGCTCTCCGGGAGGACATCCTGCATCAGTTGGAGACCCGGCACTCTGCCCCGGTGCACACGTCGTCCTCTGGGCACTCACGGCTCCAAGACGCGTTCGAGGCAGAGCACGCGGCGCAGCTGGCCGTCATGCGCGCTGACCACACCATGCAGATGGAGATTATGCGTGCACGCCATGCAGCGCAGGTGGAGGAGCTGCTGGCGGAGAGGGTGGTGCAGCCGGGTGCCATCCGGGAAGAGTACGCGGCCCAGCTGGAACACGTGCGCGCAGAGCATGCCAAGCAATTAGAGGAGCTGCATGCGCGCCACGCTGCGCAGGTAGAGGAGCTGTTGGCGGAACGTGCAAGGGAGCCCGAGGCCCTGCGCGCAGAGCATGCGGCCAAGGTGATAGCAATGCGTGCAGAACACAGCAGGCAGATGGAGGCCCTTCGTGCTGAACACATGGACCAGCTGGAAGAGCTGATGGTAGAACGGTCAAGGCAGCCCGCGGCACTGCGGGCGGAGCACGCAGCCAAGCTGGCGGCTCTGCGCGCTGAGCATACCGGCCAGATGGAGGCGCTGCGGTCAGAGCATGCCGCGCGGATGGAGGTACTGCTGGCGGAACGTGCGACACAGCCCGAGGCGATGAGGGCAGAGCACGCCTCACAGCTGGCAGCACTGCGTGCGGAGCATGCGAAGCAGATGGAGATCCTGCGCTCGGAGCATGCCAAGGAGGTAGGAGTTCTGCTGGCAGAACGTGCCGCGCTGCCAGAGGCGCTGCGTGCGGAGCACGCGGCTCAGCTAGAAGGTATCCGGAGCGAGCATGCTGCGAGGCTGGGGGCTCTGCGGGCTGACCACGCGACGCAGATGGAGACTATGCGTGCCAGCCACGCCGCGCAGCTTGGGGCATTGCTTGCGGAACGCGTGATACAGCCAGATGCTTTCAAGGCAGAGCACGCCGTCGAGCTAGCAGCTCTACGCGCGGACCACGCGAAACAGATGGAAGCCATGCGCGCCGAGCATGGAAAGCAGATGGAGGAGCTGGCAGAGGAGCGCGCCATGCAGCAGCGCGATACGCTGCGCACGGAGCACGCCGCGCAGCTGGCATCCCTGCACGCAGAGCACACAAAGCAGATGGAGGCAATGCGGGCGGAGCTGACCTCGCAGATCGAGACCCTGCTCGCCGAACGGAAAACTGTCTCACAGGTGCTACGTGACGAGCACGCAATGCAGCTGGAGGCCATCCGGGCCGGCCACGCCTCGCAGCTGACGGCCCAGAACGCGGAGCATGCGAAGCAGCTGGAGATGCTGCGTGCAGAGCATGCTAAGCAGATGCAGCGGCTGCTTCTTGAGCATGCAGCCCAGCCGGAGGTCATACGTGCGGGCTACTCCACACAGGCCGCGGCTCTGCGCGCCGAGCATGCAATGCAGATGGAAGCCCTGCGTGCCGAGCACGCGGCCGTGCTAGCGGACAAGGAGCGGCTGCGCGCCGTTGCGGCAGCAGCTCACGAGCAGCAACTACAGGAGTTGCGCACCGGGCACCAAAAGCGCGTGGAGGATCTGGCGGCGCAGACTCGGGAGCGCCTGCAGCGGCAGGAGGCAGAGCAGCGCGCAGCAATGGCGGCGGTGATGGAGGACCATCAGGCGCAGCTTGCGCGGCACACACGCCGGCTCGACGAACTCCTGGCGCGCCACAAGCAGCAGCTGGACGAACTGGCGGATGCCAACCGCCGCCAGCTGGAGGAGGTCCGGCGGCAGGGTGAGAAGCTGCTGGCAGAGGGGCGGAGCGCGGCGGAGCGCGGTGGAGCGGAGGCAGCGGCAGCGCACGAGAAGGCGGTGGCGGAACTGGCAGGCAGGCTCCGCTCGGCGGAGGCGGCAAGGGCTTCGGCAGAGGCGGCACGGCGAGAGGGCGAGGCAGCCCGTGCGGCATTGCAGACGCAGCTGGACGAGGTGCTGACGCAGCTGGGCAAGGAGCGCACTGTGGGCAGTGAGCTGCGCGGCCGAAATCAGGCGCTGGAGGTGGCCGAGATTGAAATTAGGCGGCGGATGCAAGGGCTCCTGGCGCCACAGGAGCTCGGCTGGCGACGCGAAATGGAAGCGTAAGTTTTAGGAAATGTTTTGGGCTGGCAACTGCGGGTCTTGCGGCGTTTTAGTAGATCTTCCATGTGCAGGCGATCAGCGCGGTTTTGGTAAGCAAACCTGTAGGTGCGTCCTGAGCTAGGGAAGGAAGTAATCAAACAGAGGGGAAAAGAACCAAACCCGCCTTTCGTCGCTGTTTAATCCCACTATAATAGACCGGTGCAACATTTCCACCTTCAACGTGCTGTCTGCTCGCCGGATGCTTGCATAACCGCAGGGAGAAGCTCGGCAGCCGCTTCCTTCTGCGCCGCGTGCTGGGCCATTGGGCTACCAACGCGCGCCTCTCCCGACGCCATAGCCATCAGGTTGCCGTCATTGTGGAGCTTCGTCGTCGCAGGGTGTGCCGACAAGCGCTGCACCACTGGCGCACGACCGTGCTGCGTACCAAGGTGCTCCGTGCTCTCCTCAGAGCGAACGAGGTATCGTTGATGCGGCGGGCGCTGGTATCGCTTAAGGCACAGACACTTCACCACAGGTACAAGCCTCAACTTGGAAGTTTATGGTTTTTATGGTTTCCTGGTTTTCTCTTGAGCTGGGGCAGCCCTTTGCCACCGCACGCCGGATGTCCGTAGAGCCTGAGCTTTTACGCTACTGCGCGCTGTAAGACGCCAATGCCCGTCCATATTTTGAGGAGTCCACCGCCCTCCTCAATAACGGCCAGCTTGCCAGCTTGCCAGCTTGGCTTGCGTTAAATTGTTACATTACCTTTGTTGGACAAGGCCTTGGATTGTCTGATTCATGGTAATTTGTCCCCGATTGCAGGCGAAAGGCCCGCGCCATCTCGATTGCCGTTTCGCACTGGTCCGTGCGGCAGCTGTCCCGTTGCCTTGAGGCATGGCGCCAGCTGCACCGCATGCACGCCCGTGCGGCCGCGTACTCCGACCCGGCCGCGGTGCGGGCGGCGATCACGCACCATAGCAGTTTGGCCCTGCGGGCGGTCCTGGGGGCGTGGCACCAGCATGTGTACCAGACCCAAATGCCCAAGGTAGGAAGGTAGCATGGTTACAGGAACGGAAGAGGGCGATAAGGGAATAGGAGAGCATTTGGTGGCGAACCGATGGCTACAAGTATGTATAGATGGCTGCATTCATATAGCCTTGCAGGTGTTGGGCTTCCATTGTCTTAGCCCTTTTACCAGAATCCAGTTGCTTGGTACTTTGCCAATCCCAGCGCTCTGCTTCATCTCTCGCATCTTCTCTCTGCCATGTTCCTCGCGTTCGCAGACACAGCGGCGGCGCCGCGCTGCACATGTGTACAGGCGGCGGCTGCTCCGGAAGGCAATGGCTTGCTTTGCGCAGCAGGCCGAGCGACGCGCCTTGAAGTGTAGCCAGCTGGCTCGCAGCACCCGAAGGTAGGCTGGAAAAGGTCTGTCGATACAACTTGCTGCACTCCGCGATGATGCTGGACGCACCCGACGATAACCCTACAGAAAGGCATGCCGCCTGACCGCGCCCAGGGCCTACCACTCGCTGTTCCACTCATATTGAGCTCTTTCCTTCCCTTGGGAGCTTTGTAGTTACGCTTGGCATCGCCTTAATTCATATGGCTGCGCGCCCTCGCGAGGTTAACGTTCCCCTTGCATGCACGCTCCCCTTGCACGGACTGTGTCACGACCCAATGCCACCCTGTTCAGGCATCGTTTCTCGGTCCTAAACCGCGCCTTTTCCTGCTGGATGCGCTACTTGGATAGCACCCGGAGAAAGCGGTCGCTCTTGAGCATGGCTGACCTGCAGTATGGCCACGCTGTGGTGCAGCGTTGGCGCCGCGCGGCAGCCCGCAGAAGGGCGCTGCGGCTGGGCTTGGCGGCTCTGCAGGCCAGGTACTTTGCGTGCGTTAGGAATCCTAACGACGTATCCTCGCAGTCGTTCCGCGTAGCACTTTGCCGTGCGAGGGTTTTGTCAGTGTGATCGCCGGATTGTCATGAAGGCTTAGGGTTTTATGCACTGCGTCCGGTTTCATTCACAAGAAAATAGGCGGCGAATGTCATATATTGGTGCTTCACTTCCTATCCTGAACCGTCTTGGCGCCGGCCATGCAACCATCTCGCAGCGGCGGCATCCGTCGCCTGCGCACGTTTTGGGGACGGTGGCGTGCATTCATCCTTCGCCGGCGTCAGGCGGTGCTAGCCTTGAGGCTGGCTTCCGAGCACCACAGGGGCGCGCTAATGTGGCGATGCGTATCCGCCTGGCTGCATCTAGCAAAGCAGTCAGCAGCACGGCAGCTGCACATCAAGGGCATGCGGGAGTACCAGCGCATGATGCAGGTGCGGCGGCCCGGGCTGGCTTGGAAGCCTGACTACCACAATTCGTGTCAGTTCATAAAAAAAGTACTAAGAAAGAATGAATCTCGCACTCGCAATACACAGCGGTGCTGAGCTTTGACATTTGACACGGCGCGCCGCCGCGTGACCAGGCCGTCCCTAAAACAGTTCGGATCCTAACAACCCAGAGCCCCTGTCAAGTGAACCATCAGTCTAAACAGCTTGTGGTAATTACAGCGTATCCACCCAGGCCCAGAAGCGCTCTGGCACCCGACGCTGCGGCCTCGCACAGCGGAGCTTGGAGCCATCTGCCCGTCTATGCCGCAACGTCCTCTTTGCAACCCCCTATTGCCTTTCACATTACCTTCAAGCTTCATGACCCACGGACCTGTTCATTCACAGGCTGCGCTGCGTTGGCAGCGCTTGGTGGCGACGGGTCGGCGGCAGCAGGCGGTTGTTGACCGGGCAGTCCGGATGTACCGGCACCGGGTGTTGGCGGCCACGCAGCGCGCGGTGCTGCGCCACTGGCGGGCGGCCGTTGATGACCGGCGGGGCCTGCTGCGTTCCGCCGCCGTGAGCTTCGTGCACGCCTACCTATCCATCTGGCGGAGGAAGGTGCTGATAGCGTGGCACCTGTGAGTCAGCAATAGCGGCTGCTGCGGCTCACTTTGGGACGGTAGGAAAGATATTCTCGGTGCTCGTCTACAAAGTACTACACAGTATATGGCGAACCCGTTTATTGCAGTAGTTGACGTGTTGTGTGGTTGTTACAGTGAGCTCCACATGACGTATCTCGTTTGTAGTCCTTGTGCTCTGCGCTAACTCACTCATGGATGTGCGACGTGTTGGTCAACTGGAACAGAGCGGGTGTGCGGCCCCTGCCGAAGCGGCATAGCCAGCGGCCCAAGCACGTTTCATGCATCATCATCACATTCGGCATCCCTCACGCCGCCTTGCTGGCTGCTAGCGGGTTCCACCATGGTTGTAAACATGCGTCCCTCCGGTCGACGGCTCGTTGCACTTCGCAGGGTGGCGAGCCGTGCTGCCGGCGAGCGGGGGATTGAGGAGGCCCTTGAGCTGCGGAGGGCTTTGGAACGCAACGAGGGGGCCATGCGGCAGGTGTCCGCCAGGTTGGAGGCGGTGGGCGCGGAAAGTGCTGAGCTACTGGAGCAGCTCAAAGAGGTGCGTCCTTTTTTACAAGTTGTTAGGCATGAGGTGGAGGAAATAGTCAAATAGTCCCCCGGGGCCCCTGCCAGAGTCCCAGCATGGCAAGGAGACGGCAGCGCACCTCATTGAAGAGGCCATTAAAGGAGGGGTTCGGGTCCGCGTTTCCTGGACGCGAAGCCTACTCCGTCCCACACCTCTTCCTTTGCCTCCCCGAGTAATATGGTGTGTTGTGCCAAGGCCCGCCTAAGGCCGGTCTGCACCAGGAGCGCAGATTATTTGAAATACGATGCATGTTTGTGCCATGTCTGTGCTAGGGTCTTATCCGTGCGCTGCGCTTTGCCCTCACCGCCATTGATTTGGCTTTGCGCTGCAGGCTCAGTCGGAGGTGTTGGTGCTTCGGCAGCAGCTAAGTGAATCAGAGAAACGGCTGGGGGAGGCGATGGAGGCGCTGGCCACCGCGGAACGAGAGCTGGAGGTAAGGATGAGACGGACAGGGTGCGGTGTGCACATTGGCAATACGTCTGCATTGTCAGGTTGGCGAGGAGGGGGTGTGAATGAACCCGAGAAGACCGGAGTACCAAGTGCAAATCCGGAATGCATATCGTTGAAAGGATCAGGCGTGGGACAGGAGTGGGCGAGACAGCGGACTTGGTGCGGGTGTAAGCCCTCTGGTGCGCTCTGTGCCCGCAGGCCCAAGGCGCCGGCCTGGCTACTCGTGCAGACAAGATTGCGAGCCTGGAAGCGGAGCGCGACATGCTGCTGGATAGAGTAAACACGTTGCGACAACAGGTGTGGCGGTGTGCTGCATCCTCTCTGTTCCCTCTCATCGTAGTTAGTTCCGTAAAGGCTCTACTTCAGAAAGCCAGAGATACGAAACGGGAAGGGACAAAGAGCAAGGGCTGAGTTCCACCATTCCCCGAGGAAAGGCGACGCGGTCGCGTAAACGCGGTGTATCCGCCCTACGGTTGAACGCTGAGGCTGATCCCGCCCGCACCGAACAAGGGCAGGGCAAGGACGTCTTGGAGGCGCCGTCATGCTCTCTCTCTCCCGCACGGTCGTCTCCTTCACGGCTTTTTGCCGATGTCGATGACTGGTATACACCTGGTCCTCCGCACCCTGGCATCCTGACAACCCGCCGTGGTGCCGGGTGTCACGCAGGTGTCCTCCGGAGAGGTGTCGGTTGCGTCGCTGCAGGAGCAGGCCTCCTCGCTGCAGCGCACCCTGGCAGCAGCACAGGGCACCGTAAAGGAGCTGAACCTCAAGATGCAGCAACAGGTGTGAGCACTTGGGATTTCGGGCACTTGGACGTAGTCACTGACTGGAGCGAGGATTTTAGTATTTCTGGTCAGCGATGATTGGATCACGTGACAGGCAAGGAATCCGAATCAGCCGCCGACTCTATGCTTCGGCTCAGCTCACTAAAGCTCGTGTGCCGGGCCTCACCTCCGACCCTCCTGACACGCATGTCTTCAGGCCGCCCACTACGAGGAGCAGCTGCTGGCTGCTAGGGATGAGGCGTCGCTAGCTAGGCGTGAGGCAGGCAGCCTGGCGGCGACGGCGTCGAGGCTGGAGCAGCAAGCCACGGATAGCGAGGCGCAGCTGCGGGCAATGCGGACGGGTCATGAGGCGCTAGTGGCATCCCTGCGTCAGGTGTGTGTGCCGGGCTGGCTGCTGGTAGGGTGCGGTTGGGCGTAAGGGCCGATGACTTCTTGAAAAACTCCTTGTAAACTCGGTTACATTTTAGGCAGGATTATCGGCCTCGCCTGTTTCGACCCGTGATTTGCGGTATATATCGTCTATGGGCCCAGGGCTTTGACGGACACCCCCGTATTCGTGCGGAACTTGTAAACTTCTAAACTCGTACCTACACACCACGCCCTCCACCTTTCATTTTCCTCCGCGCACCCACTTTTCCTTTGCTCTACAGGAGCTGCGCGCCCGGGATGTCCACATCATGGCTCTCAACCAGCAGCAACAACAGCACCGCGACGCCGCCGCGCTGTCCAGACCCGCAACCTCCGTTGCCCGGCCGCCCAATGCCGTCTTCTCGCCGCGGCCTTTGGGCGCTGACCCTCGCTCGCGCTCCGGAGGGGGCGGCTTCGCATCAGCACGTGGCGCCGAAAGAGAACACCATCCCAGGCGCTCATCAGCGGGTGGCCATGACGTCGGGTACTTGGGCCATATGGGCGTGGGCCATATGGGCGTGGGCGGCGTGGATGCTGCAGCAGTCGTGGCCGAGGAATCGTCGTTGCTGGATGGGTGGGAGATGGCTCGTGACGGCGGTGGGCGGCAGCGGCCGCTCTTCGAGCCGTCCATGCTTTGCCCGTCGACCACGGCGGCTGGTGGCACCTCGGCGCGCCACGAGTCTCGGCCCTGGTCGAGTGCAGGGGAGCGCACCAGCAGAAGAGCAGCATCGGCGGCTGGTGCGCTGCTACGCAATACGTCCCTGCTGCATGCACGGCCCCCGGCCGCGCCACCGGTAGCGTTACCGCAGCATCCCACCAGCGCTGCAATGGCTGCAGAGGGCGTGTGGTCAGACAGTCCCCGCTTTGCCATCGCGTCCGAAGCCCTCGCAGGAGCAGCTGCTGCTGAGTGCTCAGCTGCTGCTGTCGCAGCTGAAGCTGCGGCAATAGAGCCATCGGCGCCTGTGCTGGCAGCGCAGCATTCCGTCCAGCTACCTGCGGAATCTTCTGCACTAGAGTGGCCGCAGCCGCAGGGCTCACATCCCGCCGGGGCCATCCGAGCCGAGTACCACGACGACGGCAATGGCGATGAACTGCCACCGCCAGGCCAGCACCGCGGCGCGTCCGGGGCGTTTCGACGGCTGCAGGCCGCCGAGGCCGCGCTCCTAGCCACGGAGGAGGAGTTCCAGCGTCGACGTTCGCAGATCCTCAATTTGGGCCCGGCGACCCTGGCTGCGGATGCCGCTACCGCTTCCAGCGGTGTTGGCGGGTGCTTGCAGTCGCAGCGTTCCCTGTCTCCCCGGCTGCCGTCCGGCTCCCAGGACAGGGTCACCGCGGACGGCCATGGGAGTGGGCGTGTGCTGGGCCCCTCACAGCTGCGAGCCCCGCATCGATCCGTGCCGGGGACGAGTGAGGCAAATGGCCGAGGTCGGGAGGAGTGGCCTGGAGAGGCTGAGGACGCCGCGGCGGGGCATCCTGGCGCAGGGAGGTCGCTGCGCCACTCCACCAGCGATCTTCCTGACCGACCAGGGGGCAGCCTGCAAGGCATCGGGGAGCGACTCGCTACCTTGCCACTGCGTCAGGGTGCGGCTTGGGAGCGCGAGCTACAGCCGCAGCACGCGCCCGTGCCCCCGATGCGGCGGCACACGTCGACCGATCCGGGCGTCGTCAATGCAGGCAGCGGTAGCACCCCCGCCGGCGCTGCCGCCGGAGACAACGATGGCGGTGTGCTGCAAGCGCAGCTTCAGCAGCAAGTGGATCTGAACAACCTGACCGCCGGTATCGTGGGCACCCTGTCTAACCTGCGGGAGGCCCTCAGGTCGCAGAGCAGGGCCCCCACGCCGCCGCCGCTGCCCTTGCCGCCGCCGCAGCGGGCGGCACAACAGTTGGCGCCATCACTTGGGACCGCGACTGCGCAAGCCGGCTCTGGTGGCGGGTGTGCCGCTGCAGCTGCGGCTGGGCTGAGCACCGCGGGCGCAGTAGCTGCGTCAGCGGCCCCACGCACCGCTGCCGCGCACCAGGCTACCATCACCGCACCGTCGCTGCACTCCAGCGCAGCGGGATCCGTTGCCGCCTCGGAAGCGGGCATGCGGAGTTGTGCTGCCAGTGGCAATGGTAGCGTGGCCGGTGACGACGAAATCGAGATGACGCTGCGGGACTTGCTGCGGGCTGCCGTGCCGCTGCCGCCACCGCTGCAGGCCACGACTGCACGGCAACTTCAGCAGCAGGCTTCCCAACAGCACGAGGTGGCTCCTTCCATGGCTCCACAGCAGCACCAGCAGCAGCAGCAGGTGTTGCCCACCGAGGGCGCCAGCGGTGATACCGCTCGGGTTACCGACGCCGCTGAGCTCCTGTCCCGCAGCTTGGCGTCGCTGCTGAGTGCTGCTGCTGACGCCGCCGCTGCGAGTGGAAGCAATAGCGGCGGCTGCGCTGCGCCGTCCCTGGATTCACGGACTTCCGGCGCTTCCAGCCTCCTGACATGGCTGCCGGCCTCGGCGCCTGGGGAAGGGGATCTGGACCTCGGTCCTTACGCGCAGCCTGCTGCCCTGCGAAGCAATGCTGCCGCCGTCGTTGTCCCAACACGTGGTAGAGGCGGGGGCAGCTTCGCGGAGCCGCCGGCTGCAGCTTTGGCAAGCGGCATGCTCCCCGTTCTTCAGCGCGTGGTGGCGGCACCGGAGCGAGGTCATGAACTATACACTCGCATCGGCTCACATGTGGCGTCCGTGTTGGAAGAGCTGACGGGGCCGGCATCTGGCGGCAAGAGCAGCAGCAGCGCTCCAGCGGGTGTGCCCTTGGTGCTGACATCGCTGCGGAAGGTGGTGGGCATGGTGCCGGAGGAGGACGGATGCTCTACCTTCCACGCGGATGCATACTGAGGTGCATGACCAGAGGAAGAGGAGGAGGAGGCACACCATCTCTCCGCAATGGTGAAAGGGTGTGGGCCCGTGGGTATTCATGTCGAATGTATCAATAGAGGCCCTAGTCACCTGGAAAGTACTTAGGCGGTGAGGGCGTATCGAAGCGTCAAGGAACTGTGCGTGAAGGTTGGGTCCGATGGCTAAAAATCTGTGGCGTGGTTTGAAAAAGGGGCCTTTTTGTGGTTGGGGACTCGCAAGGCGTGAGTACAGGAACGATGTAGCCGGCCAGGCGACGCGCAACAACGATGTGAAGCCCTGGGAAGGCCAGCGGCGGCGCGCGGACGCGCTAATGTGGAATTTACACGTCACCTAGAGTTTCGCACGACTGGATTGGGAGGTGGATTTCCAACGGCGTGCGGGCCTCTTGAGGTATACGTCATCCGCGTTAACGTGAACCAGTACGCAAAGTGTGACAAAGAATGTTTGTGTCTCTGTCTGTTCAACTCGATCGGTGGTTGGGGCACTCTCCGGCGTGGCTGGCATCACCCAGGTTATGGGAATCATAATCATAATCGCAAGGGCCATTCCTGCACAAGACACGATTATCGGCTGCACCACTCCTAATTACGGGTATGCCCAGCGGCCTGCTCGTGCAGCGGGCGAGTGAGCAATTCTAGGTTAGTAATGGGCTTAGTTTAGTAATAGGCCTCGATATTTCCTCTGCAACTCAGGAGGCGCCATGACGTCTTCAGCACCGCCAATTCGGCCCAGACAGGTCAGCTGTGAAATGTGTCGCTTTCCTATTTTAAGTCCAAACTGTGTATAGATTACGATGCAAGTTGGAGCACGCGATATTGTCTACTCACTTGGCGAACGGAAAGCATAGAATGGATTATAAAAAAAGGGACCAGTTCACACCCAATTGGAGTTCACACCCCTTCGCGCACATCTCCACAGCACTATACCTCCTGGCAATCCAAGGCCCTGTCCGTGTGGGCCCTCTCTCCCACCCCCAACCCAACCCCCAGCATCACACCCTGCACCTGGAACAATGTTCGAACCCAGAGTTCGAACGATACGCAACGATACCATCACACCTATCAATACACCACGCATGAAGCAGTCCGGGGCCGCCAGTGCAGCGACCGCGCCGTATCCAAGCACCGTGAAACCATAGGTTCGTCGTTGGGGGCCTACAGCCCTGGAAGGTTCATCCGCGGACACCATCCGCGGACACCGGGGCCCCCCCGCTCTTGCCCCCTCCTCTTTCAGCCAAGTAAAGTGCACACGCGGTTCGCCCTTCGCCACTCACCCACTACTACTACTACTTTACCACACCCACACCCGCGCACAGCCGGGTCCGGTCCGTGAGCCACAGAGTACAGGCGCTGTTTCGGCGCCGAACTGACGGACTCTCTCCCGCCCCTCCCTCCTATCTCCATAGCCCGAACTTAGCCGCGTACGTTTAAGCGACGCGTTGCAACCAAGCCCTTCTCTATCGCAGTCCTCTCACCCTCTCACCTCACAGACCCTCCATCCGGTGACTACTACCCCGAACTACCACACCTCACTTCTCCCACGCCACAGCGCAATTCCCCCCTGCACAATCCCTACTTAGGGACCGGACCACCTCCTCACCCCCTCACTGCACATGTGAAGGTGGACTGACGTTCCCGTGCTGCTGCTGCAGCTGAGACTCCAGGCTCCGAATCCGGTCCATCAGCCACTGCTCCCGATCACTAGCAGGAACTATCCCCGTCAGGGAGCCCCGCGGCGATACAGGAGGGGCCTTGCTCCCGTTTCCGTTTCCGTTCCCATTCCCAGCCCCAGAACTGCTGCTAAAGCTGTAAGTCACCGCCGCCATGGCCGCCCCATTGCTGTTGGCACCGCCGCCATTACTGCTGCTGCTCGTGCTAGCTTCACTAGCGCTGGCGGGGCCCGCCGGCGCCGCATTGAAGGTGGGGCCAGCGTTGGGCCGGAACCCCGTCTTCTCCATGGCGAGCTTCATGGCCTGGTCCAAGTCGGCGATGAGGTCTTTCGCGTCTTCAATGCCAGCGGAGATGCGGACCAGGTCGTCCGGCAGCCCGCGCGCGGCCCGCACATCAGCGGGGATGGAGGCGTGGCTCATGTAGCAGGGCAGGCTGACGAGCGAGTTCACGTTGCCGAAGCTCACCGTCACCTTGAATAGCTGTGTAGCTTCCACAATGATCTGAACAGGAGGGAGGGTGCGGGGTGACAATGCGGGAGGGAGGGAAAAGGGTTAAGACGAACCATTGACGATAGAAGCCGGGTAAAAGGGAGGAAAGCGGCGAGTGGGGGAAGGCGTAGGAGCTGGCGATATGGGGGGGGAGTAAGACGGGGCCGTTTGGCAGGGGCTCCGCCGCCCACAAAACGGCTGCCCACAGAACTGGACCTCCCCACAGATGAGCCGGCAGATGAGCCGGCAAGTGGAAACGGGCGGAAATGAAGGAAGGAAAGCTTACAGCCACTCAAGGCCAAAGCAGAGCCCCGCAAAGCGTAATGTGTGTGGGGGGAGAGGTAACGGGAGAGTGCATACGGCATGACGCTTAAGGCTGCATTCCTGTTGCATCAGGGGTCTCGAACGAAGAGCAGCCGACAAAGACAGGAGCCCTAGTCCCTCTACGCGTGAAGGACGCGAAGGAAGGAAGGACGCATTGGCAACGGCCGCGGCGGCTTCAAGGCGCAACACATCCGCTGCTCCATACAGACCTTCTTCTTTCGCAACCCCCCCAACCCCCACCCCGTCCTGACCTTCACATCGCCCCTCCTGCTGGTGGCGCCCCCACCCCAAAAAAAAAACACACAACCAGCACCCCAACATCCCCCAACACTGCCCCCCCCCCCAATCTTCCCCCACCCCCCCACAACACACCTTGCTCGCCTCCACACTCCCCGTTTCGAAGCTCAGCAGCGATCCCGGCCCACTGGCCTGCCGGAAGTGCAGCGCGTGGCCCGGGTGCTGCGGCAGCCCCGGGTAGTTGACCTTGCGGACCAGGGGGTGGGCCGCCAGGAAGGAGGCAAGCGCGGCGGCGTTGGCGGCGGAGCGCTCCATCCGCAGCGCCATGGTCTTAAGACCCCGCAGCGCCAACCAGCAGTCGAACGGGGCCAGGCCCGCGCCCTCGGCATTCTGGCGGTGTGAAGGAATTCACACGGGGACAAGACCGGGGGGGGGGACCGAGGTGGGAAGGGGGACGTCGTGTCATCGTACGGCGCAAACTGCGGAGAAAACTACTGGAAAACGTTGAAAAGATTGAAATGTCGTCGTCGTCAAAGTACCAAACAGCCCGGAAGGGAAGTGGAGGCGGGTAAGGGTAACATTGATGGAGAATGGGGTTACCATGTACACACACACACTACCACGCAATGCGCAATGCTTGCTTGTCCCTCTTCATCACCACCACGTACACATACACTTGCC